TGTCACATAAAGGAGGTCCGTATAGGTTAGTTTCATTTTTAGGGGAGGTTCGAGTAATTTTCCAAATTATAGGGGAGGTCCTTGTAATTATGGCAAATCATAAGGGAGGTCCATGTAATTTAATTGGAACATAATTTTCGTCACATTCTTAGACATTTTTAAGCACCTTTAGGTTATAATCTTTCATTAATGCTTTGTTCGGTAAAGAATAGCGGAGGAAGGAAAATGGGAAGAAATGAATGAACTTTTTTTGTTCGATAGAGATAATATAATAAAAGAAAAGATAAAAGAATGGATAAGTCATCCTTCCTTATTTACAAACTTTCATCCGTCCAAAAAATAACTTACTATATAGACAAGAGGACCTATAAAGGAGGTTTTAAATTACTATATCATCCTTCATAAATATTTAATAAATCCTACAAATAAAATAAATAATGGGTTTAATGGTAAAAACAACTTAAAAATCTTTCTTTTCTTTTATTCTACCGATCAACTAAACTGTCAGCTTCTTCTCTTCTCTTCCATCCAACCGGGAAAAAAAAAGAGGGAAGAACATAATCTCTTCTTTAGGGATATCTCATTCATTTATTCTTCTATTCAATTTTCTTCCTTCTTACCGAAAGAAGCATAAATCATTGTCATCGTGTTAACATATAAACATGGGATGGGATTTTGTCAAAATTTTATTCGAAATTGTTTTAACCACTAGAAAGAAGACTTCTTTAATCTTTCAAAACTCTCGGCGCCTTTTCAATGATTCATAAATACTTTTTAACATCATTTTATATCCAAAAATCGCAAATTTCAACGTGTTTACAAAATATATTTCATCATTTTATATCCAAAAATCACTATTTTCAACGTGCTTACAAAATGTATTTGTAAAACAAAACTCTGCCGAAGTTACAATAAAGTACTATGAATCATAACATTTAAAAACTACGTATGTATGATTTGATTCCCATTCTCTTTAAAAGCAAGATACATATGCAACCTAAGTCGCATTTTCTTTTAACTTGGCAACGAAAAGAATACATTAAGAGATAGTGTAGTCATTACAAACAAGAGCCAAAACATCAAACGGAATATGCTCAAGAACAACATGATAAGACAAATGCCTTTTGGACAACTTAACAGCGACATCAACAACCTCATTGCCATGATGAAGCAAATGACTAATTTGGACCAAGGAAAATCTCCGCAACGTAAGCTAAATATCATAAACAACTACTTGAATATCTAATTGTCCAAGTAGAAAACCCAGAACAACATTGCACATAGGTAAAGAGTCAATTTGAATGCATATGTGAGAGAATATAATACCTTAAACCTAAAAGACCGTTTTGCGAAAACAATCAGTTTCAACAATATTGTCATTTAAAGCCGAAAAGTCCTTAAACACTATCACATGTACAGTAGACCTAGAGTCAGTTTCTAATGCATGTTAGTTGATTGAGAAAAAGAAAGTGTCTATATTACACTTAATAAGAGGAAACTGACACAAAGTGGAATGAATTTTGGGCTCAACAAATAAAAAATCTTATGAAAGGACGACGACTAACCGATGGCATCCAAAAACTCCCATAATAGACTTGAGCTCATATGAACTACAGTGCCAGCCTCCCAACGCTCACCATTATAAACAATATGATTTCTCGTTTCCCAAATAATCCAACAACAAAAAGAAACAAAATCGAGCATCATCTAACTGTTCTCTTACTAATTCCATCTCTTAATCAATGAGAGCCACTAATTAACAAAAAGACTAAAAATGCAAATTTACAAAATCAAGCCGGAACGGATAAAGTTTCTATATAGTAAGAGAATTATGACATTGAAAAATGGGATGCTCAACAGACTCATCAAATAAACCACAGTGGTACACAACATCTTGCACAACCCTTCGAATCTTCAAAGCTTTTCCGACAAGGAGACCATTTTTACAACAACACCAAATAAAGTGTTGAATCTTAGTATTAGTTAGGCACGCCCAAATCCTTTATCAGATGACCTGATCATCGATAGACGAGTTTAGCTTCCTCACATTTAAAATTCCCAAAATTGCATTTCTAAAAGGAATGGTAATGTGATAAGCATATTTGACTGTATATAACCATTATTGATTGGACCCTATCCAAAAGTATTCTCTCGATTGAGGAGAATTGTATGCGCCTATGAGAAAGAGAAAAGATTATCAATCAGATTGACCTTCCAACATTTATTGAGCTCATCAATTAATTCCTTCACCAACTGCTGCTCAATACAAGCCGACCATAGATTTAATTTGTAAATAAATCCTGGAACGCACCAGTCCATCCAATTTTGACTTCAAAACAAATCAACAAATTATGAAACCCCCTCACAATCATCAATCTTTCAACACTCAAGCATCAAATAACAACAAACACTTATTTCTAAACATCAAAAGAGTAGCATGTGTCTCCCCTTGCGTTTTACACCCATTACCAAAAATCTATTCGGGCCCCATCTTAATGAGTCTTTGCATGGACGAGATGCTACACCATGCCCAGGATGGGTTGGATCCCAACTTAGCCCGCAAAAAAGAACAATTGAAAAAATATTTAGCTTTCAACAATTGGTATGCCAAGCCTTTTCTCTCCACTTGAAAATTACAACCATGCTTCGCCAAAAGAGCCTAATTGTAAACTTCAAGTTGGCGGAATCCCAAATCTTTATTTTTTTCCTTTCACACATTGATTCCTAGTCCACCCAATAGGTATTGTGATGATCTTCCCCACTACTCCACCAAAACCTTTTGAAAAGGGAGGTCAACTAACAGAGTTTTTTTGGGCAATTTGAAACAAGACATAATATACGCTGGAAAAGGCACTTAACATTAGTTTTAGCAATATCTCTTTTCCGACATTGGATAGGAGAAAAGACTTCCAGATTTGCAAGTTGATCAATAACTTTTTGAGTCATAAACTGAAACACATTAATTTTGGATCTCCCAATTAAAGCAGACATGCCCAAATCCTTGACATTCCTCTAAGATATACAACATAGTACAAAGACACTTTCAAATTCGTAGCGTATTCTTTAATAAGAGTGTAGATGATGTTGAGAAATTGATTTTATGTCTAATGCAATTTCTTATTTCCTGAGTATTTTTCTCACAAACCGACTCTCAAGAACAAAAGCCTAATAAAAGATGATGGCGCCATTATTAAATTATAACCATGTAATTCATTTAATTTGTCTAATTATAAGTTGGTGGTATTTACATTGTACTCTACATGCATTTAATGTCTGGGTAATTTTGAAATAGGCCCGAACCTGCCATTACTTTGTTTGAGTCAACGCATAAGCATGGGCGGCTCAACCATAAGACTTGGTTGCCTAGCCCTAAATAGGAGAACGCATAGGCTTGAGCAACTAAACCATATGACAATTAAGGCGGTCACCTGAAGCCCCCAATAGGAGAACACACAGGCATAGGCGACTAAACCATAAGGTAATTAAAGTAGTCGCCTAAAGCCTCCAATAAGATAACGCATAGGCATGGACGACTCAACCATAAGGCAATTAAGGTGGTCACCTAAAGCTCTCCAATAAGAGAAGTGGCCCCCCTATTTCATTATGTTAGTTTTATATATTTCTTTTAATGAATTAAATATGGTTCGTGTATTATATTAATTACAAAATAAATACAACTGCTTTCCTATTAGTCAATACAAGTTTCATTTATATTAGTTATATACATGTATATATGTGTATTAATGAATCATTTGTGTTTCTTATTAATTACCAAATAAATACAATTGTTTAGTCCATCCAAGTTTCTTCTAGTTTTATCTTACAATTACCTCATTTTGTTTTCTTTCAACAATTTCACACATTTTGATCTTCTTCTAATTTTAAAATTCTCTCGCATATCAATACTTGTTCAAAATTAGTAATTTTTAATTTATTGACTTTCTTTCACATATATTTTCAGCACAATTAAATCAGTATCTATTAAGTTATAAAAAAGTAAATAGTATTTTTATATTTCCTTGAGTTTATTGCAAAATAAGTAAAGAGAATAATTATTAATACTGTATTAATATAATCAATGTGAGAAGGCCTAATTTAGTAATTTTGCTTTAGGCGTCATACTGCATCAAGTCAGCCCTGCGCATAGATCAATTAATCAATATGCATAACGTCTAATGAGCATGAAATTAGGTCTTCTTAGTAGGTTTAACCATATCTTTAAAAAACTAAAGTAATAAAAAATTTCTCGAGATTTTGCATGTTCACTAATAAATCACACACATTTAAGAAATCGTGAAAATAAATTGATAACTAGACATAAGTATGGACACGTGGGGTGCCTAATACATCCCTTATGTATTAATATAGTTTCATTAGACCATAGGATAATTACATTCAATTTGTTATTATACACTAGCATGCGACAATTAAATGTCATGCTAAGATAGTGAGGCTTATTATATTTGTTGAATTTAAAATCTTAGATTTTTTTAAATTATATTTTCATTCTTAATCATTTCACAAATAGTCTCTCACAAGAGGGGGACAAATTATATAAAAAACTAAGTAGTTTAAGCCATATAAAAAAAATTTGCCCACTCAAATTATTGGGTCCTTACTTATTTTTGTCCCTTTTAGTAAATGCAATGTGATTTTATAATTTAGAAATTAACTATCCCAAGTCTATTCCCACAAGAACATTTTGACTTCAAATGAGAAAATAGCTCAAATAACATGAGGTAAATATAAATTCCTCAAATACCCTTGGATTAACGTCATAATAATCCTCAAAACATAAGTATACTTAAAATATATACATATATTTTGTTGTATTTATTATACATCGGAGTAATAATATTGCAATATAATTAGAAATTTTAAAAAGTCATAGACTAATAGGAAGCAAAAATAGAAATTATTATCTGCATTCAAAATGTAATATTTTTTTTATAAATATAAATTTAAATTACAAAAAAGGCCCAAATAGGCTGAATTCGCAAAGCCCTCTTCTTCGTCTTCTGCATGTCCAGCCCACTCTACTCGCAGAGGACGCATAGTTTACAATAAGAAACTTTAGAGAGAGAGAAAGAGAGAGTTTACGAAGGAGCACGAAGGAGAACCAGGACATATATACATATAGAGGTATATACGTGTGTGTATATATTTAGAGAGAGAGGAGTTTCTGAGAGGACTCAAATGTTTTCTTCCATGGCTGACATTTTCTAGGGCAAATTCGCGTGCTTTGAATTGAGGCACGTTGCATCAAACAAACACTTGGAAGAGGGAGAGGGTATCGCGTCTTGCTCAGTGCTAGCCCTAGCTGGCAATTCTGGCAGAGCTGTTCGCAATTCAGGTGATTTATTGATCTTTTTCTCTGCAAACCCTAGATTTTGGACTAATGTTCATGTTGTGCAAACCCTAGAATTAGGACTACTTCTCAAATTGTTCTTAGGGACTTATGTTTGACGCATTGAATGCCAAATTGTGGGTAATATGATTGTGTTTTGCAATTTCGTTTGGATGTTTAGGGGTTAACGTGCTGAGTGTCATGTCATTAATGGAGCTTATTTAATAAGCATGTAATAAAATGTTGGAACTTGGTGTGTGTTCTTACAGGTGAATTAAGTAGGACCATGTTTTATTGCAAGCCTAGGCGCTTTTTGAATTTTAGTTGATTTATTAAAGCTGTTCATATGAGATTCTGAAGGATATAGTTATGCTAATTATAGAATGAGGAGTACAAAGAAGGGGTGTAAATTGAGAAATTTCAAACATTTGACATCTCATTGTTGCCCTTTGATTTTATTTGGCCATGGTCAGTCACTCTGACGATGCGTGTAAGTTTAGTAGGTTGAATGATTATTATGCTTTCATCGCTGCAGATTTATACATAAACTAGTCAATATGTCCGTGTATATTCAGTATTTACCCACTCATTCCTCTAAGTCTGCACCCAAAAGTTGATGTTTTGTCATGATATTTGTTTGATCTTCAGTCACACACGCTCTCTCTCTCTCTTCTCTCTGTTTACATAAGAGTTAATGTTATGTTGTAACTTGTAGTCTTTTACTAGAAATTTCTTTTGATTGAGATTGACTTTAGGTTAAGTGATTGCTAAAATGTCTTGTTCTCTTGACCTTATTGTGGTCAGATTTTTTTGGATATTTGCAACTCGGTTAATCTTTTATTATTTCGTGCTTGATTTTTTTTATTTATTAATACTCTCTCACACCAAAAAGGAAAAAATGAAAAAAAAAGTGGACTGTCTAATTAAACCTTTTGGAAAATTTCTTGCTATGACATTCTATTTATTTATTCCCTGCATCCACATTGCATTGGTTGAACTAATATGATGGTTGGAATCATACAATAGTTATCATGCATGGCATATTTGACACAAATCCTGTGTGACAACATCTACGCGACTAATTAGGTAATCAATAGGGTCTTTCTCCATGCTTGCCCATGAGTTTGATGATTACGGGTATGATATTAGCATATCAAATGAGCTTTTTTGCAGATGATCGCATTCCTGTTTATTAGCCATGCTGCATTGATGCAAGCAGGGGGAGAACACAAAAATTGAAACATTTTAAGTAAGACATTAGCATGTGGGGACATGACAACATTATACAAATAAAATGAAGACAAACACACACACACACACACACACACACACACACACACACATATATATGTATGTGTGTATGTTTATAAATACATACATATATATATGTATGTATGCATGCATGCATGCATGCATATTTATAAAATTGTGTGCATGTACATACCCGCACAAAGAGGTTGAAGCATTTTAAGATAGACATTAGCATGTGTTTGTCTTCATTTTAAGTAAGACATTAGCATGTGGGGACATGACAACATTATACAAATAAAACGAAGACAAACACAAACACACACACACACACACATATATATATGTATGTGTGTATGTTTATAAATACATACATATGTATGTATGTATGTATGCATGCATGCATATTTATAAAATTGTGTGCATGTACATACCCGCACAAAGAGGTTGAAGCATTTTAAGATAGACATTAGCATGTGGGGGCATGGCAACGTTATACATATGATATGAGTACAAATGTAAATATATATGTTTAAAAAATTGTTTTTATGTATATATCTGAATAAACAGTTATACTCTTCTCTGATAAACTATGAGAAAGGTGTGTTTTAGGGTCCAAAGTATGTAAGACATCCCAAGGGTATCGAATAAATGCCAAACAAGTTTATTGAAATTATTGTTGTTTCTTTTGTATTGTCATCACTGCAATAAGTTCGGGACACATATTGAGGAGGACCCCATAACTTTAGGTGTTCGAAATGGACATGGCTTTTGTAGAAGTATCTGTGCTTCTTAACTCACTGCTTACTGGCCTTTTGATGGAAATTCAGTATAACTTTTTTTTCCAGTGTTACATTGTTTTGATTCGTACTTTTGCGGAAAGGATCTTCGGCAATTCACATATTTGTGTATGCATTCTTATTTAGGGTTCTGATGGTTACATTCTTATGATATAATAGTACTACACAATAGACTGATAGTATCATTGGCATGTTATGCTAATATTGCTACATTAAATAATTTAAGTACACAAGAATCTTTCATTCATTCGACGGTTTGGGCCAAGCAATTAATTTATTTAAGTATTTATGTAATATATGCATGATTTTATTTATTTATGATACTCATTTATTTACTATAGACTAATTGTACAACTAACACATTTAGATATTGGATGTTCACACTGGAAGTTTATGTATTCTTTTAACACATTGTTTGTTTTGCCATAAATTGTTTGTTATTTTATTTCCTCCAGTTGAATACCCTTTATTAGTTTTTATTCTGCAAATATTTCTTTTTGTGTACCTTGGATTTGAAATAGACTAAACTAGGAGGATGTCATATGTATGTTACGAGTGTTAGTATCATGTTATTACTAGGGAAAGTTGTGTTTGGATGACAAATCTGCAACTTGACTGATTACACCCCTCTACTCTAAACACAGGAAATTTTTGTGAACTAGAATGTTATTGAGCCTGAATTGTTCTAGTCACATATAAGCATGAACTTTTTTTTACCCCTTTTTATTAATATTGTTGCATATTCCCCCTTTTTATATAGCAGAAATATATGTTATCTTTGAGAGACTGAGACTATAATATCTTATATTTTCATTCTTCTACTTTTTAGCAATATTATTTTTATTCCTCATTCTTATCTCACTATTTCTATGTATTTCTTTATTTTTTTGGCAAAATTATTTGTATTCTTCATTCTTATCTCACTATTCCTAATTATTATTATTATTTTTTTGCTTTAAGAAATTTGATTGAAGCCTTGAACCAATGAGAGGGAGACACTTGTAACAATTAATGCAGGAATGCATGGATGTAGCTCAGGATCTGCTGTTTTAGTCAATGCTGAGGTTGATTCCATGGGAGGAGTTGTTGACGCCGGAGTTGGCATTGGTATCAAAACCTCTCCACGGCAAGCAGCAATTGAGAAGGCTCAAGCAGAGCTTAGGTAATATCAAACTGGTACTTTGTGTTTACTAGCTACCTGCTACAAGTTACTAAGTAGAGAGATTTTTTATTGTTGTAAATTTAAATATGGCAAACTATTGTTTGTCAATAACAGACTGGAGTATGATGTTCGGGAGGAAAGGAGAAGAGAGCTCGAATTCCTTGAGAAGGTATGACTATTTGATCCTTCTCTTGTTTTCTTGAAATAATTGTTCGGATATGGGACCACTATAAACATATTCAGCAACTAAATGCTTCTTATTTACAGGGTGGCAATCCCTTGGACTTCAAATTTGGGAATGCTGCTTCAGTTAGCGTCCAATCTACTTCACTGATGGATCAACATCCTGAAAAGTTTGTGAACTTTTTTTTCCCCCCAATTCTGCACTTAGTTGCCGTTTGATAATACAATTCGGCACTTAATTATGAACAAATTAAGTGCTTATTCCATTAAGTGCATTTGATTACGCAATTTGAACACCACTTTAAAAAATGCCACTTAAAATGTGGTAAAATTTTAAGTGCCAATGACATTACTTATCACTGAATGCTGAACACTTGAATCCAAAAACAAGATAAAAAAAATTCTCAATTTGCAATTATCACTTAAAATTCAGCTCTTGGAATTTTTAGTTTTATCAAACAGCACCTTAGTGTTATTGGGTAATTGATGAATCATTCAGTTTCTTCATTTTTTATGGACTATCCTTTTGTTTTTTCTCGGTACTACAGTGAAGCAAAAGGTAGTTTTGCATTGACTGCTTCACCTCGTGGAGATTCTGTTGAAAGTAGTGGCAGACCAGGGGCCCCTACAGTTTGTGAACCCAATACTGCTGATAACCTATTGTTATTTGATGGTGAAAGTGAGTTTGCTGAAGTTGAAAGGAACTCTGTACATCCTAATAGGAGTAATGTTATTCCATCAGAACAGTCTTCCCAGTTGGATGGGAGTCTAAATGCAAAAGAATCAGGGGACTCAGCTCCTTTTGGTGTCCCCAAAAAAGCATATAGGCGGAGAAATAGGTCAAGACCAAATCGTGATGGTGCTTGTTCAAGTTCTACTGATATAGTTCCATCTCGTGGTGGTCGTGTTTCTTATTTGCCTTCACGCCATGGTCTGAAGGATGTGAAGGGGGCAGTGTCTGATACAAACAACCAGAAGGACCAGAATGTTCCTTCAAATTGTAATTTGAAGCCTGCAAGTCCAAATGCTAGTATGGTTCCCAAGGCTGTAACATTGAATAGCCAGTTAGATATGAAGTTGGATGATGTGCGAGCTGTAGACTCAGCTACTGAACTGAACAAAGATGGTCCGCCTGAGTGTGTTGATGATTTCAACACTTCCAAAAATTTGCAAAATGACCAACACTCTCAACCGTCACAAATTGATGCTCAGGAAAGTCCTATTTGTATGACTTCTGGGTTACCCGAACCTGTTGGGGTTGGAGGAAGAGAACAGGTAGTCTCTGCTGGTCTTGAATGCCCACCTTGTGTGACTACAGCAAAAGTTGAGAATCAAACTAATTTTACTCCGCTGAATGGATTCAATAATGCAAAGGGAGATAGAAAAAGTATACCAAATGAAGCTCAAAATAGTAGTGCAGCGTTGAGCACAAAAGGTTTAGACTCGGAGTCCTCTTGCACAAAAACAAGCCTTAGCTTAGAAGGAAACAATGATAGTGGCCTCTGCACTAATTTAAGAAATATTGATTCTAATGGCACTACAAGAGAACAAACCTTAGTCTTTGAAGAGAATCCAAATATAGAAGGTGATGAAAGTGTGAAAGAAAAAAATGAGACAAAAGCTGAGGACAGTTGTGCTTTTAGTAATGACGATCGAAATTCTGTTCATCAAAGCCACCAAGACAAGAGTTCTATACTCAAAGATGAGGAAGTATTACATGGAAGTGATTCTAGTTTGCAAAATGAGTTGAAAAATCATACCGGGGTTGAAAGAATGGAACCAGATGGCCAAACTGCATGTGCTACAGAAAGAGAACCTAGCAATTTGTTGGGTGATAATTCTGTCACCCCAAAGGAAAATGCTTGCATTAATAGACCTCAATGTTCTATGGATTCCTCTATTAGTGAGCTTCCTGAGACTACATTGTCTGTTAGGAGCCCCACTGTTGCTCCCGAGCAACAAATTCACTTAAAATTGGCAAACAAGGCAAATGAAGATTCTATTTTGGAAGAAGCCCGGATTATAGAGGTCATATTTTAATATTCCAGTCTATTTTATTACATTTACATTGTTAAATGTGAAAGAAACTTTTGTTTTTGCCATCTTCATCTGGCCCCAATGACTTTTGTGGTAAACAGGCAAAGCGTAAGAGGATAGCTGAGTTATCTGTTGGTACCTTACCCATGGAGAATCATCAGAAATCTCACTGGGATCTTGTCCTTGAAGAAATGGCATGGTTGGCAAATGATTTTGCGCAGGTTTGATTTTATTTATGAAACATAAAGTTGTTTTCTCCCTTGTGGCTTTTCTTTTAAGCTTTTGGAGGATATAATTATGGCTTAGTCTTGCATATTAGCCACAAGTACTTAATTTTTTTAGAAAACTATTTTAATCAACTTTTGCAACTTTACCTGCTTTTTCTAATTCAGTAATTTCCCTCTTCAAATAGGAGCGGCTTTGGAAAATAACTGCTGCTGCTCAAATATGTCGTCGAGTTGCTTTTACTTCTCGGTTAAGATTTGAAGAAGAAAATTTGCTTAGGAAGCAAAAAAATGTAGCTCACACCTTGTCAAAAGCTATCATGGAGTTCTGGCATACAGCGGAGGTACTTCTAAAAAGTCATTATGCAATTGTTATTCTCTCTCTCTCTCTCTCTCTGTCTCTCTCTCTCCCCAAGTCAAGTGTTAATTCTAAATACTGCAAATATGGTTTTGTTGGATAAGGAGGTTTAATTGGAATGAGTTTGCTGAGGACAGGATTGGATAATTATTTGTGCTGGTTATTTACTTTCTTTTATTTTCTGTTACTAGTTTCGTCAATTCAATTGTGGAATGTTCAGCCTAGAGAGAGAGAATGGTGTTGCTCGACAATTGTTATCATATACGTCCTTATTCAATAGATATGGTGGGAGAAACATTGTGGAAAATAAACTTTTAATGTCTTTGTGTGTGTAAATATATGTATCACCAGCTGTCTAGCTTGAGTGATATCTCCTGCCATTCCATAAGGAGAGGTGCAGGATTGAATTCCTAGTTGGAACATAGTTTTTGGGGAAGATAGAGTAGATAATGCAACAAATAGAGGGAAATATAGATGGATTGCGTCACAAATTAGTCTTTACTAGAACAAAATTTGTGTTATGTTTTTGTGTGGTTATTGGAAGCATTGGTTTATGAAGACTTGGTTTCTTTTGACCCACTCAAAATTTAGTAAAACGTCTAGTGATTTTTTATATGAACTACAAATTAACTGCTTTTTGTTAACAATCTCTGTTGAAATGAATTCATGAAGAAAGACTGTGCCTTAAAGGTCATTTATCCTCTCTCTAATTAGGCTAATCAACCAATGGCCCCGCACTTGTGTCCTAATCCGCCGTTTATTTTATTTCTTAAAATTACCTTTTCTTTTCCTTGATAGATTCTAGAAGTTGCACCTTGTAGCCAAAGTAAGGAATGCTTCTAAAGCTACAAGATGCACCGACCAACTTCAAACATCTGTGAGGATATGTTTCCGACATACTAGAATGGAATAGCTTTGATTCAACATTGTAATACAAAACATATTAATTTAATTATCTGGGTCTCTATGCAATTTTTCATTTTATTTTCTGGTGGATCAGTTCATGTTTTTATCTCCAATCAAATATGCTGAAAAATTAATGTATATCGTTATATTTCTGTTATTTATTTTATTATTTAATTATAGAGTTTTTGGTGGGGTGTGTTGTGGTAAATTTCAGAGTTTTTCATACTTAATGTGCTGTTATGTGGTGGTTGTGAGCAGGAGACAAGCAACGGGCTGGAGCTGCAATGTCCTGGGAAAAAGTTTGCACTTGCCATACAGGAATATGCAGTGAAATATCTGAAATATAATAGCTCCATTGTTCCGCTAGGCCGAGTCGAGACACCAGTGACTCCCGAGGGGGTGTCAGATTTGGGCATTCAGGAAGTGTCATGGGAGGATCACTTTACAGAAGTATGGGCATACACTTTATGTATTTATTTGAAGCATCAATGCTGACGATTAAACCTCTCTCTCTCTCTCTCTCTATACATATATCTATTTCAAATGTGTAGATCACCTATCTTGGGTATCATCTTTTGAAGTTTGTGTACCCACTTGTTCTACTTTACTATTCTTTCAAATTGTCATTCGAGGGCCACATTACAGATATATGGACCAACACTTCAGCATATTAAGTTAGACAATCAATGTTGACTTTTTTTTTGGAGTGCTGGGTTTGATTTCGTAGTTTAAGGAGATGACTTTTCAAATACACTTGTTCTACGTATGTATTATTTTTTTATCAATTAGGGACTTATGACATTGGGTTTTTTTTTTTTGGGCAGGAAAACCTCTTCTATACGGTTCCCCCTGGTGCAATAGAGACCTACAGAAAATCTATTGAATCTTATTTGGTTCAATGTGAGGTAAGCATATTGCTCATCATGATGTTTATTTATTGTGAAGTAACATTGTAAGAATAGGTCACTATTTTCTTTCTTCATTTTCATGTGCTCTATGACTGAACTATGTTATATACTGGTATGTGCATCGTGTGTGGGCATGTAAGTGCAAGGACACTAAGACATGGCTAAATATTTATATTTTTAGGATAAATTGGTGTTTAATCGTTATGTAACAAAAGGAACACAATAAGAGAGTTAAATGTACAGTTATATAATAAACTTGAAATATTGGATATGCTTGCTTGCTAGGTGCATGTCCAACCAAACATGTCAGTCTACTGTGTCTTGTGTCTGACATATAGAATAGTAATCACAGTTACTAACAGGCATTGAGTTCTTCTAAGGTTCTATAAAATCCAAGGGAACTTTACTTCTTACTTTTTTGGTGTCTACATAATAAATTCTCACTTTTCTTTTTAGGAAAACCTTCCATTTGTGAAGTGAGATGAATAACATGAGTTAAACTATTGTCAATGATGGGTAAACAGTCAATTACTTCTCTTAACTTTCTGTAACCTTGACAGCTGTTTCTCTCTCTCTCTCTCTCTCTCTCTCCCCCCCCCCCCCCCCCCCCCCCCCCCCCCCCCCCTCCCCGCTCTAGCTATGCTTCTTCCTATCCATAGAGTTAAGTTACAGTCGATGCCTATATCATAAGTTCTTATTTAAATTTAAATCTTACTACATACTACTTGATAATGGAAAAACTAAAAGTTGGAGGGGAGAAATGGTCTATACAGAGCACACGAGTAGGAAACGACCACACTATCTGTCAGAAGAAAAATAATGCTGGAAATTGATAATTGCTTTTCCTCATTAGAGGAATGACACAAAATTACAATTGAACTACGAGATTAAGAGAGCTGGCTGGTAATGACCTTAGAAGATACTTCTAGGGCTGTCAAATGCACCAATTTACTTCAGCTTGGCTCAATTAAAAGCTCTGAGAATATTTGCGAGATAATTGATCCAAGCTGATCCAAGCCCGACATGGAGAATACCGCATTGTGAAGGCACGGCAGCAAAAAAATTGACCCAGGAATCAGCCACGTCACACTACATGCAGAGAATGGAAACAACCAATAGGAACAGAGTGTACTGAATTTAAGTGACTGCTTAACCACATTTTGGACATAAAATATGGCCCCAAAGTTCTCTCTTTATGGATCTTGATGTCAATGAGGCTTCGATTGGCTAAGAAGAGGAAGTTAGTATACAAATTTTGACACTGCCAAGCAAGCTTCAATCTTTGTAATGTAGCTTGTGTGTGGGGGGGAGGGGGGTGTCTGGTGGGGGAAGGAAGGGTGTCAAATAATTTTGCAGGAAATTGTGGCAACTTGAGAGAGAAGGAAAATTTCGAATACTCATTTGCAACATTGGATGTGTAATTGAGTTACTTCTATGAGTTGGAGAGCTTCTCATTGTATTATGAGGAAGGTGACTAGGATACATGAAGATAATGGAGTGTGAAGAAAACTTGGATGGTAGAATGATATTAATATGAGTCAAGGAAAATGAGTAAATATTGGAAATTATCTGAATTATTTTTTGGTTTTGCAATTCCAAGGCATCAATTAAGAAAATCAGGCTTTTGATTTAGCTGTAGTCTATTTTTTGTTTCCTGAATAGCTGTGGCCTATTTTTCCTTCAGATCTGAGTCTCATGATATTATAGATTAAACTGTCAAGTGACTCTGTGGTGTTATGCTGCCTGGTCTCTTACTTTCCAGGAAGTTTCCCCACCCCCCGCCCAACCGGGGTTAAATCAGAAAGAGAATGTAATAATTGAAAGAAGATGTAAATTCCTCATATATATATACCCTTCCTTTCGACTTATCAAAAATATATATATATACACCCTTCCTTTTGCAGTCAATCAGTGAGCAAAAACTATTGCAGCCACTTGCTATGTGTACTTTTTTCTGGTTGCTCTAGCTTATTGAAGGTTTTTTGTCCTTATTTAGAAAACTGGCAGTAGCATGCAAGAGGAAGTTGAAACATCTATATATGATGCTGTAGCAGGTATCCATCTATTGTGATTTATTTCTGCTAAATTTGTCTATCAATCTTCTATTGACAACTTTGTTCCAACTTTTAGACTTCGGAATTCAAGAGAATGCATATGAAGAGGATGAAGGAGAAACAAGCACATATCTTTTGCATGGAAACTTTGAAGGTAGCAAGGCATCCAATTTTGCCCAGAAGAAACGGAAAAAATTGACACATTCTTATGGTGCTAGATCGTATGAACTTGGAGCTGATTTGCCATATATGCAATGCATGGAAAATAAAGTTGGGACCCAACAATCTGTGTTAATGGGAAAACATCCTGCCAACAGTCTTAATGTTGGTTCAATTCCAACCAAAAAACGCGTGCGAACTGCTGCTTCCAGGCAGAGGGTTCGAAGTCCTTTTAGTGCTGGAACTTCTGGTTGTGTTCAGGCTCCAAATAGGACAGATGCATCAAGTGATGATACCAATTCTTTTCAGGATGACCAGAGTACTTTGCATGGCATGCAGAATAGTTTGGAATTTGAGTCAGCTGGGGACTTTGAAAAGCAATTACCATTTGACTCCGCGGAAGTATCTACGAGACCTAGAAAGAAGAAGAAGGCAAAACATCTGGTATAATATAAATTATATTTTCCATTAGAAACCATAGATTCATTATTTTTGGAGAAGTGTCATGACTTTCCTTGTTGGTTTCTTCTTGATATTTTCAGTTCATGAATTCGGTATTGTTGCAGGGTTCCACATATGAGCAGAGATGGCAGCTTGATCCCAATTTTCAAAATGAGCAGGTGATTTTTGTTCCATTTATCAATTATAGTAGCTTGATGTGTGATTTATCTAAAAAAAAAAAAAAAGAATTTAGTAGCTTGATGTGTGATGCATATATTTCAAATGTTCAACTCACATTTTTCACGAACTCACACTTTATGCTGAAGTAGTTCAGCAAATTGAGTTGTCATGGTGTCTACTAAGTTTTTTAAGGATGATTTGTTTTGGTTTGCTATGTTTAAGTCTTTGCATTTGTTATGTGTTGACACTTCAATTGGCTTCAGAAGGGCTGTATCTTTATTTATAATAATTAATTGTTGTTATTGTTGTTGTTATTATTGCTATTATTGTTATTATTATGGTTGCTGAGTACAGTATTCAACTGTTTATGTCTATTTTCTGTTTGATTCATGACTTTTCACTTGTTGAGCATTTGTAATGTATATGTAGTTTGATGGTTTAGCTATGCCCACAAGATTTTAAAACTTTTCCCCGGGTCTTGAGGGAGGACCCCAGGATTGTAGTAGTTGTTGAGAGAGTGCATCTTGGTAGAGATGAGAGAGGTCTGATTCTTGATCTTTTTCGATATGAAGCTTTAGAATGCTCAGGGGCACACATAAAGTTGCAATGGACAAAATCATTTGTTATATGTTCACTAGAAAACAATAACAGTAAGGTTTTAGAAAGCCATTCATTTCCTGATTATATATATCAAAATTATTACAGAACTCTTATAATGTTCTATCTAAACTTGCCAAAGAAAGACATTTGAACATTAAGTTAAACAAATTGAAATGTACAGAAGTGATTATTTCTTTGAGCTGCATTGAGTTTGGATGTGTGTGAATGTACTTAGATTGTTCTATTGATCACAAGGGAATCGCTGGAGATTTAGAAATGTCTTTAGGTTTCTTTTCAGTTTTAATAGAAGGGCAAATGCCTAATGCTGCGGATATTTTGATGTGAACTTGTGGAAAACTATGGCTCTGTTTCCTCTAAATGACCAAAGTGAATATCATGCTTTTAATCTTCTAAATTAATGTGTTATTTGTCTTAACGGAGTTTTTTCCCCCTAGAAAACTTCACGGTCCTGCAAAAGCTACTCCTTGGGCAATGTTTTAGGTTACATATTTACTCATTTGATCAGCCAAATACTATTTTCTAGAGTAATAATTGAAATTCATATTTATTTTTCTAACTGCGGAAGGATCATTCAAGAAAGAGATTGGTGAGTTATCAACTTGAATCTAATCATATTTATTTTTCTAAATGCAGAGGGATCATTCAAGAAAGAGATTGGAGAGTTATCAACTTGAATCTAATGGAAGCAGTGGTAAACTGCATTCTCGTCCCATATCTGCTTCAGTGCTTAATTATTTGATAACTAATAGTTTCTTTCACGTTCCTTGTTCACATTTTTTGTATGTCATCTGTGAAGGTTTATTTGGGCAACAAATTATAAAGAAGCCGAAGCTGGCAAAGCAATCACTAGATAATTCTTTTGACAATCTTACTCCACTGGCTGGGTCTATTCCTTCTCCAGTGGCTTCCCAAATGAGTAATATGCCCAACCCTAATAAGTTCATTAAACTGCTTGGTGGCCGGGATAGAGGTAGGAAAGCCAAAGCAACAAAGGTACTCTATGAGAGCTCGTCAACCATGCGCCTGATCCTGTCCCCGTTGTTGTTGTTGTTCTATCTTTATTTGAGCATATCTATGAAATTGAGCTTTTAATCCTCTTTGCAGATGCCTGTTGGGCTGCCAGGTTCAGGAAGTGAATGGTCGCTATTTGAAGAGCAGGTTAATATTTCGTTTTCATCCTTTAATTTATAATACATATATTTTGTTAAGACATATTATCATGTGTTTGCAATGTCGTTTTGACATCTTAGGCACTTGTTGTCCTGGTACATGATTTGGGTCCTAACTGGGAGCTTGTGAGCGATGCTATCAACAGTACTTTGCAATTCAAGGTAAGATGTACGACACATTAAATCAACATGGTGTGCTAGATTTTATTATTTCACTTATCCTGCCTTTTTTAGGTTTCATAAAACAGTTTAAGCTTTAACTTAAAGAAGTTATTCACTATAATACTTATATATATATATATTCTTAAAGGGTGCGATCATATTTTACTTATTATTTTAAGTGCTCTTTTGTTTTTCTTTATTTAATCTTTTATTTTTTATATTTCTGTTTCTTGCATTTTAATTTGCTAATCTCATGGTCTTATTCAACATGTGCAGTGTATATTTCGCAAGCCTAAAGAATGCAAAGAGCACCACAGCCGTTTAATTGATAGGACTAATGGTGATGGAGCTGATAGTGCTGAAGATTCAGGGTCTTCTCAACCATATCCATCTACCTTACCTGGCATTCCAAAGGCAATATTTTTTATTATTTTTAAAAATTTGACATATTTTTTGCTTTATTTATTGGCATTATATATCTTTACCTTCTGTTGAGTTAATTTTAGCCGCTTTAATTGGCTGTTGGTGCTGCATGTCACACAGGGCAGTGCCAGACAGTTATTTCAACGTCTGCAGGGACCAATGGAAGAGGAAACCCTCAAATCTCATTTTGAGAAAATCATTGTGATTGGGCAAAACCAGCATTATCGGAGGACTCAGGCATGTTTCCATCTAAACAATTGACTATACAGTGTGCTGGTTGCATGTGATTCGGGTTATAAAATTAGAACTGCCTCCATTTCCTATGTCTTTCAGTTTGTTAATTTTCTGTTTCCTCAAGGTGGTGCCTTTGAGCAGCGTTCGTATTTTTTGTTCCCCATGGCAGTAATTGATAGCTTATCTTGGTGTAGTGTAGTAGCAGAAAAGCTAGTGAAATAATATAGAGAAAATGTTGTGTTAAATGTCATGGAAGGTGGAAACCACATAAATATAGTTTGATTACTACCTAATAACTTCTCTTACATTATCTGCTTCTCACTTGAACTCATTATCACTGATTTATATTTTCTTGTTGTATATTGAAGAATGATAGCCAGGACATAAAACCAATTCAGCCGCACAATTCTCACTCACTTGCTCTTTCCCAAGTCTGCCCAAATAACGTGAACGGGCCTCCTCTGACGTAAGTTTTTGGTGGTGCTCTGAATTATAATGGTTCAATTTCTGTGTACTACTTATTGGCCATTGCCACTAATTCATTCTCACTAGTATAATTGTATCATTTTTTCATGTTCTGTTACATGTAATGGCTTTTGTCTTTCTTGAGGAACTGTTACAGTAACTATTTATTTATTTTTCTTATTTTAATTTTTTTCATCAATGAAGGCCTCTTGATCTCTGTGATGCAATTGTATCAAACCCTGATGGTCTTACCCTTGGGTATCAAGGCTCACATGCTAGTGGTTTAGCAATGTCAAATCAGGGTACTGTAGCATCTGTGCTTCCAGCTTCTGTTGCAAATTCCTCGTTACAAGGATCTTCCAGTGTAATTCTCGGCAATAACTTTTCATCGCCATCTGGTGCACTAAATGCCTCTGTTAGGTAATATATCATTATGTAGCTTCAAATTTATCAATTTGGGATGTTTTCACATTCTGATTTTATGTACTTGTCATTTCTCTTAGGGATGGTAGATATGGCGTTCCAAGAACAGCAGCTTTATCTATTGATGAACAGCAGAAAATGCAACAATATAATCAAATGTTATCTGGTAGAACCATTCAGCAATCCAGCTCGTCTATACCTGGGACTCTTCCAGGAACTGATCGTAGTGTTCGTATGTTACCTGGTGGAAATGGTTTGGGAATGATGGGAGTGAATAGAAGCATGCCAATGGCGAGGCCCGGGTTTCAAGGAATGGCCTCATCATCTATGCTGAATTCTGGAAGTATGCTTTCTTCTAGTATGGTGGCGATTCCAGGCCCTGTAAATATGCACTCTGGAGCTGGTTCTGGTCAGGGAAGTTCAATGTTAAGACCACGTGATGCTTTGCATATGATGCGGGTTAGTTGTCTACTGTAGTCCTCTTCTAGACTAATATGGCCTTCTTAATAATTGTTTTTTTATCATCCGTAGGTCAGTATTGGGTTTGAATCGCATTATGAATCATACTTGTATTGATTAATTTCCTCTGTTTTGATGACGCTAGCTATTCCTCTATTTCCTATTAATAATTGTACTTTATATTTGAGAGTGATAAAGAGTGAAGTTTAATTGCTAGCTATTCTGATGTTTTAGGTGTAATTCTGTTATTTTAGGTGTTAGAATACTCTAAACTACTCGCTGCAGATGTCAGTCTCCTAGCAGAGGGCTAAAAGATGCTGGCATAGCATCTTAAAGGGAAGGAGCACTATCATCCTGTCATGTTGTATTACGTTTTTATTTTTGGGGTAAAGTACACTAATTTCCCCTGATATTAGGCAAAAATACACATGATATCCGTGTTAAAAATTACTGACCTCCCTTTAACTTTATACTATGTTATAGAAACCTCCCCTCCATTAAAGTTGACTGACAATTGAAGATAGAATTGGCTGACAGCAGCAAACAGAAATTCAATGGAGTGGGATATCCATGTTTGAACATACTAGTAGTATCTATTTGAGCTCTGCTCAAATGTTCCCTTCTCATGATGAGAGTGTGCACTACAGTATAGCTGCTCTGCTCTGGTCTGGATTAGTGAATTTAAGAGTAATGTAATTCAGTCAATAATCAAATAATAGATTATAAGGTCATAACCTAATTAATATAATATGGGTAGAAGGTGTGTATGACTGTATGTAGAGGACTTAAGTTATTACAGGCCCTCCAAAAATGTTTAATAATCTAAGAGTTCTGAGAAGTCCTGCACGTGCATTCTCTCATTAGACTATCTACACTGCTACTGGCAATAACTCTAAATCAGAATCATTTCTAATAATTGCTGTTCCTCACATACATATGGATTTTTCACTTTAAATTAAAACAATATGGCCTTCAATGATCTCTTACTCTCTTCATTTGCTTAAAAAATAATCTAGATGTAAAAATTGTTCTTATGTGCATTATCGGCTATGAAGTTGCGTCAAAGCCATTTGATTTGCAAATCTCCTTTGCTCGTTCTAGTTGTAACAACTGCACCTATGATGGAATTCCCAATTATAATTTCTCTAATTACACTGTTCATGTGGTGCTGTAGCCTACCCAGAATCCGGAGCATCAAAGGCAAATGATGGTGCCAGACCTTCAGATGCATGCCACACAAGGGAATGGCCAAGGAGTTCCTCCTTTTGGTACATTAAGTTCTGCCTTTTCTAATCAGGCAGCCCCTTCACCCGTTCAAACATACCCACATCAGCAGCAGCATCATATGTCCCCGCAACAGTCCCACGTGCTTAGTAATCCTCATCATTCTCATCAAGGACCGAATCAAGCCTATGCAATTCGATTAGCTAAAGAGAGGCATCTACAGCAGCAGCAACGGTTGCTGCAACAACAGCAGCAGCAACAACAACAGCAATTTGCTGCATCCAATTCTTTGATGTCACATGTACAAACACAGCCCCAACTCCCCATCTCATCTTCTCTTCAAAACAGTTCCCAAGTTCAGTCACAAACTTCTTCCCCACCAGTACCACTATCCTCTCTTGCACCATCATCTACTATGACACCCATGTCTCAGAACCAGCAGAAACATCACATAATGCCTCATGGACTTGGACGAAACCCTCAAACTGGTGGCGGTGGTTTGACCAATCAGATGGGGAAGCAAAGGCAACTTCAAGCTCAGCAGCAGCAGCAATTACAACAATCAGGCAGGCATCACCCTCAACATCGCCAACATTCACAGTCTCAGCAGCAGACTAAACTGTCGAAGGGAATAGGTAGAGGAAACATGCAGATGCATCAGAGCCTCTCCATTGACCCCTCTCTTCTGAATGGACTTATCACAACACCAGGAAGCCAATCTGCAGAGAAAGGGGAGCAGGGCATGCATTTGATGCAAGGTCAGGGTTTATATTCAGGGTCAGGACTAAATCCTGTTCAACCATCAAAACCATTAGTGCCTCATTCTTCAAATGTGTCACAGCCTCAGCAGAAAATGTATCCTGCCCAAACAGTCTCTTCGTCAAAGCAGCTCCAGCTGCCTTCTTCTCATCCTGATAATGGAGATCAAGGTCATCTTCAACCAGTTGCTTCTGGTCCCACGTTATCAGCTTCCCATCAAGCTGTTCCACCCTTGGTCATTGCTTCTTCCAACCATCAGCAGCCGCACCAAAAGTTGGTTAATCAAACTCAACCGGCTGTTCAAAGAGTGCTACAACAGAATCGTCAAGTGAATTCTAACCCACAGAGCAAGTTGCAAGTCAATCAAGCTCAAGGTGACCAACAACCTGTGACCAACTCATCGCAGATGAGTAACACAGTGGCAATGCCTCAGGCCTGCGCAGATAGGACTAATGTAGTACCTGTGATTTCTTCCACCAGCACTTCTCAGCGGAAAGCACCAGAACCATTATATGATTCTGGTATGTCACATTCAACGACCCAGTTGGTTCCCATTGAGAGTCCACCTTTAACAAGTTCTGCTGGGAGTGAGCCTACACTCTCGGTGAGCCAAGGGCTAGACCAGAGGCAATCTTCAGGCAGCTTGCCGCATATTGGGCATAATGTTAGTGCGCAGGGTCATCAGCAGCATTCGCTGCTACAACCACCTCCCACACCACCACCTCAGCAGCTGCTGCAGCAACAATCACCACAACAACAGCTGCCACCTCAACAGCAATCTCGGCAGCAGATGCAGCATCTTGAAGCAGGGAACAACAGTTTGTATATCAGGCCCACTAACTCTAGACTGGAATGATGCATTCTAAAGGATTGAGCAATTCTTGGAACGGCAGATCTGGTCCAGTTTAGGTCGGCATGCCTTTGTAACAACAGTGTACAGGTATGTTAAGTTCCCTTTTATGTCAGATATCAGCAACTGTAGTCTGACATTCACTTATGAAGTTGGCATTTTATAGACAAATTTTAATTTTCAGGTTACATGCATACATTTTTATTGTTTTTCATTTGTGCAGCAATTCCATTTTATTGCATATAATTAAATAAATTTCAAAAATCATATTACCGATGTTTTTGCAAAAAAAAAAAGGGGAGGGGGCATCTAAAAGTCCATATATATATATATTCATTTTAGAAAATAATTCCAGAAATAATTCGTGTATCCTTTCTATGTTTATATGTTGAAGGACATACGGCAATTTTGGCTTCACTGCACCTGAATCTGGGCTTTTGAATTGTAAGTGGCGTGGGAGCTCTGGATATTGTTACACAATTTAATGGAACAAGAGGCTGATGTATAATGGTGTTTTGTGCAGATGAAGTTCATCACTCCATCAAGGAGGAAAGAGAGTCTGATTGTTATCTGCTGATTCTGTTAAGAGTTAATGAAGGGATACTAGCAGGTTAATTATTTTTGGGTATTATGTATATTACCATTGCCTTAGAGCTTCAGGAAGATAGAGACAGATATAAAGGTATGTGTACAGGGTCTCGTCTCTCTTTCAATTACTTTTTTTTTTTTTTTTTCCTTTCTTAGAAAAAAGAGTAGCCGCTTCCCCTTTATATTAAGGGGTTAGTTATCATTGTCAGGGCCAAAGCCTTTGGGAAATTTTGTGAATACAATTTCTAGTGTATACAATTAGCAATGTTGAACAATCACCATCTGTCAATGCTATGGGAGCTTGTGCGATCCAAAGATACAATTTAGGTATTAAATGTTGGGTTTCTCAGCAAAAGATTCGTGCTGCAAATTTTCGCTTGAAATTTCGTCAACACGTAGAATCTTTTTCTTTTTGTAGATAGATACCAATTAAAACTAATCCTGACTCAGAAAAAAATTTATACCGCAAGCATAAAACCATAATGTTGTGGCATCATGGAATGCTGACAGTACAAAAATCTTTCACTAGGTTTGGTATCAATTTGCTATTAATCAAGTATAGTGAAATCACAGGAACTTGTCATAATTTAGATGTTGAGATTATAGTTTTATTTTTGTCCTGTAATAGTATGGGGTATTACAGGCCAGGTGATCATTTTTTTCTGGTAGGTTTGGTGGGGGTGCTAGGGTTAAAGATTCAGATGGGGTGGATTGGTTTTATGGCGTGAAGGGTGTGGTGGTGGTGATGCATTGAATGAGAAGGAATGGGTGGAGGAAGTGGCTAGGGACTGGTGAGTTATAAAATGTGGCAGGGTTAAGATTTGGGGGAGGATTGGTTTTATTGTGGGATGGGTATGGTGGCGGTGGTGATGGCGGTGGCGGTGGTGGTTTGAGTGAGAAGGAATGGGTGGAGGAAGTGGCTGATTGTCTGGGGACTGGTGAGTTCTAAAATATCCAGGTAAGTATGGGATGGTAATGGACCCGGATTTGAGAACACTAAAGAGCCTGCTGATATTGACATATTTGTACTTGGGTTCTGGCTCCTAGAGCAAATTTTGATTCTGATAAAGAATTCTTCTGCCACTTAATTTTAACGTCTTAGGCTTTACGCTAATTGCTGAAAATATTCTATATGCAAAATCTTTGAGCTGAAAATTTTAATTTTTTTTTAGTATTTTTGATGTTTAGTTTAAAATTCTATCAGCACTCTATTTTTCGATTGTGATCAAGAAGCATTCGTTTTTGTTACTTAATTTTATTTTACGCCTAGTTCCTGCAATTTGTTGAAAATATTCTATGTGTGTACGTACCAAATTCCAAGTAATGGACTCAAATCCGAGATTTTGTCAAGGGTTACCTGATAATCATATAAATAGGTTTGGACTTGCGTTTTGGTTCGTGAACTTTATCTAATTTCCAACAACAAAAAATGTAGGTCAAGCATTTTTTTGCCTTTTTGTATTTTCATGTTTTTAAACTCCACTTACCTGTCTTAGACATGAATATATAGATGAAGAGTAATGATAATCATTGGATATGATTAAAAAAAAAAAAAAAAGGTCTTATTTCAATGTCACACTATGGAAGATTTGTCCACATCAAGTATGGTGACAGGTGACAGGTGGATATGATATGTTTTTTTTTTTTTTTTTTTGGTAATTTACGTTTTGCTATTTAGGAAGATGATGTGCATGCATTATTATTATTATTTTCTTTTTGCAAAAATGCTAAAAAAAAAAAAAAAACCCTTTGAAGTTTCACCAAGCAAGCACAATACATCCTATGATAGAAAAATGAGCAAGTATAATTTCAAAATGAACAATTTGTTCCTTTTCATTTTACCTTCGGTCACTTACCATATTCTAATGCACATTATTGATACATTTTTACTAATTTCAAATGAGCAAGTATAAAAAAGGGCTTTTGCATATCTTTGTTCCAATCAAATCTATTTTTGCTCTATATATATATATATATATATATATATTTATATCATTATTATTGAACCATATATATATATGTTCATGCGTATTTCTTTCATTTTTGTCTTTTCTAACTACTAGAAGAGTTTTGAGAAGTAGACTTATATATAATGGTATAGCCAAAAATATAATACAATTATGAAAAGTACGTAGTCAAAGCCCCTCTTACATATGATTTGAAATGTGAGATTGTAAATAATTATTTTTTTATTTTATTTTTGGCCTCAAAGCCTTCCTCATTCCTTACCTTAAAATAACTTTCAAGAATTTCATTTGCTTGAAGCTTCAACAAGTTGCTAGTTGCTTTTGGGCCTTGAATTGTTTTTCGTCTTTTCACTCTATTGAACTAGGCCATGAATACAAATGAGGAAGTGTTACAAAAAAATAAAATACATACGAGGAAAAAGTCAGTGGTCTTGTGTTTTCCAACTTTGTAAAAAAAAAAAAAAGAAAAAAAAAAAAAGAAAAGAAAAGTAAGAAACCCATTCGACCTGAGCCCGAGTTCATATAAATTAGGCAGAGGCCTACATGAAGAATTACAATACTTAAGTCAATTTAGGGTCATACAATGTCTTAATTTATTATAAAGAAATATAAGGAAATAAGTTGTTCACTTTTGAAACTTTTCTACGACGGGTCTAGTGTTGACTTGGTAAAACTTCAAATGGGTTTTATGCGCTTTTGCCTTTTTCTTTACTTGCATTCAAAGTGCATTTTACATCACGTTTTGATAATTGAAGTGACAAAATTACCCTATGCACAAGTGAAGTGAATCTATTTACATTTTGAAATAATGGTGGGGTGCCGTGTTTTTTGAAGGGTAATTTTGTCAATTTAAATTTTAGAAGAGGCAAGTATAGTGCAAATTAAAAGAAATAGAATGTGAATATCATTTTCTAATATACTTACCCAAAAATAAAAAATAAAAAAATTCCTACATTTTTGTGCACTGTGTTTTTCCTTAAAGAAGGGAAAAAGCAAATAGATATTAATACCTACTCAAAGACAAAGGATGCATTTCTGTGACAAAATTTAATGTATCGACACCGCGGGTAATGTCACTCAGGGTTAATCAACGCAAGTGTTGTCCACTCCTGAGGTTTCAAAATTTTGCATCGACACACTGAGCTCTGATACACTATGAAATTTAACCGTTTGACTTGAACTAACCTCTTCACCTCAAGCACCTATCCGTAATGCTGCCATCTCCACCACCACTACCACCCACAGCCACCGCATCTTCTGGAAGGTAAACTATATAACACACATGTATACACACACATAACTAATCGATTTTGACCATCATGAATCACAATTTGATTATTCGTCTGGCAGCTCAATCTTCGGGCTCAGACTACGAGTGGTGATCGCAATACCCCATCATCAGACAAAGTCAGCTCGCAATCCACCGGTCCAGCTCCCAAATCAATCCACAAATACCAATCTTTATGAAAGCCAGGTGATGGCCATTACCACCGCCCAAGGGGAGATCGACCGCAGTGAGAATTCTTCTGCGCATCATGGGCTTTCAATGCACCCAACGAACTCTCACGCCCTGCAAATTTGTATTGCACGTTGAAGTGGGTTCGATTTGGGGTTCCTCCTAGTTTAATTGTGTTCATCATGGGTTCGATTGAGATTTGGGTTTGGTCGTCATGGTGGCGGTGATATATATATATATATGTGTGTGTGTGTGGGGTTCGATTTGGTTTCTATCGTTTGTGGGTTTAAATTCTACACGTTGAATGGGATTTTGATTTGGGTTCGAATCTTTGCTAGGATGTTCTATGTTGTGGTGAGTGGAGAGAGATAAAGAATGAACGAGTCGGCAGTGGTGGATGTGGCGATGGTGTGTGGTGGTTGTGGGGCAGAGGTTGCAGTGGTGAGTGGAGAGAGAGAGAGAACGGAGGTGGGTTGTGGTGGCGATGGTGGGGGGTGGTGGCGACTCCAGACCAGAGCTCTCTCTTTCATCATTCTCTGCAATGCAATTATGGTTAGTTTATCAGGCGGAGGGATGGTTAGTTTGGTCATTTCATAGGCTGATATTTTGTGAATAAAATTGAATTAAGGGCATTTATGACATTTCAAAGGATGTCACTATAATCGTTGATCAGAGCTGAATGGCATGGTATTAGTGCAATTTATCCTAAATTAATTAAAGATTTTTTTTCCTTTGTTTAGTGGAAAATTTCGGTCATCACTTTTTTGCTCCTTTGAAGAAGAAGAAGATTATACTACTTTAAAGTTTTTGTATGTCATCTGTGAAGGTCTATTTGGACAACAAATTAGGGTAAAGTACACTAAATCCCCTAAATTATGACCTGATTGTCAAAACCCCCCCTTAAATTAAGTAAAACTTTCTTAAACTATTATTTTGTTGCATTTGAGTATAAAGCGTTAGTGAGCCGTTAACAGAAAGTGTAAATTACTTTTTAGCCCTTAAATTGAACTACCTCGTTTTAAATTCCATCCAACTCCACCTGCTGATTTGGCAAAACAATTTCATTGTCCACTAGAAATTTGACAGCACATCAACCTTATCTTCATTTTTTTTTTTTTTTTTTTTTTCCTTTTGTCGTTTTTCATTTTTTTTTTTTATCCCCTTCTATCGTTCCCCTCTTTTTCTGGCTATTTCCTGACGGTGGACAGAACCACCATCTCCGGGGAAAGGAGGAAGAGGCAGGTCCTTTTCGGTGACCAAAATCCCTAACTGTTGCAATCTAACGGCTGCTCCATGTTCGTGAGAAACACGATAGCCCAGTGATATTTACGCCGTCGCGCCCACTGCCAGAGCAATCATCATCGGAGACGCCGATGAAGACTGGCGTGATCGAACACCAATAATCCGATGGAATCGAATCCCCGTTACAGTCAGGATAATTTACTGTGGAGAACCCATACGTGCCATCGCAATTTGACCGTCCGATTTGCTGAAGTTGTTCAAATTACGATGAAATTGGATCTTTGGTGATCTGGGTTTGTGGGATTTCAGTTCATTTTTTACTCCCTATGTTGCTTTACTCTTCTTCCTCACAGTGTGGTGGTGTTATGAAGGAACGAGTTCCCAAAAAAAAAAAAAAAAAACGTAGTTTCCAAATTGTACATGTTTCCATTTATCACCCAATTGTTGGAAATGGCATTAGAAAACGCAAACTTTGGAAGGATTTTTAAATAGATTCCGCTAAGAATTTTTTGCGAATTTATTGACGAGCACGTTCCTCTCTGCAAGGAGATGAATGTGGTATATTTATTTTCTGAAATCCGTTTCCGGGTGAATGAGAAATTGGTTCCAAAGTAAGTGGTTTATAAAACCTAAATGGGTGTGAATAAAGTGGGAAATGCTTGTTCCACATCGAAAAAGTAGCAAAGCAACCTTGAGTATATATATATCTAGTATGAGATTTGGGTTTGGGCCCAAGGGCACCCAAGTTTTTAAGAGGGGGAGGACCTAGGCTAGCCTGGATTCGAACCAACTACCACGCGCGCACTGCCCGCCCGGTCCGGGCTTAGGCGGGGCGGGGCTTAATTGTAAAATGAGTCTAACCTTTTTACACAAAGTTGGACTGGGCCTGTGTGGTTGAAATTTATTTTATTTGTCTACTGGACTTATTTAAGTGGGCTTGCGGGTGGAGCACGCTGGGCTGGGCTGGAATAATGGCCGAAGTTTGCTTGCTGGGCTGGATCGGATTAATCTGTTTTGGGTTTAAATTCAAATTAAAATCCATAAAACAGTTTTTGTTTGAACCAAGGGTTGCACCTTTTGAACCTAAATCAGTTTTGGCTTTCTAATGTCTCATTGGTCCACAATGGTTGCATCCATTCGGAATATGGGTGCACCTATTTGGAATAGGCACCATTAAGCCTATAAATAACCCTCCTTGGATTCATTTCAATACACACCAAATTCAGAACAAAATCTTCTCTCTTCTGAATTTACTTTTCCCTCTTTTTCTTTTATAATCTGTTTGGGTTCGACCCTAACCAATTGGGTTCAAACCTTAGGGATTCTGTTTGGGTTCAACCCTAACTAATTGGGTTCGAACTTAGTCACTTACTTCGAGTCTGAATCCGAGTCTGAGAGTACTTCACCGAGCCGGTTCGCCTATTCCATTGGTTTGAAGTGCTACTACCAAAGGAAGAAAAGTCGTTGTATCCTGGGAGATAGACGCCGAAGAGTCCGTTAGCACCGTAGCGGGGCGTATCTGTCTTAAGGCTATAAAATTAAATTCTAGCCTCGACTTTATCAGGTTCTTTTATAGTTTTATTTTCTTAATATTAAACTATATAAATATATATAGATTATTATAATAAATATTATATTTACAAATAATATTTAAATAAATTATACTATAGTATATGATACATTTTTTCTCAACACCAATTACCAAAGTTGGAAGTGGAAGAAATTTTTAACCCACCATGGCACCATAATGTGTGCCGAGCAAAACTGATATCTTCGTCTTTCTTATATTTCTTTAAAGATGGAGGGTTTGGTTGAGGGAAAGAAGAGGAAAATGACAAATTTTGTCAATACATATATATATATATATATATAGATGATATATCATTTATTATCTATGAAGCACAGACACAGATACGAGTATAACACGACACGGATACGGCGACACGACAAATTTCAAAAAAATAAGACACGGACACGGCGGAGAAACGCCTATATAATTATATATTCAAAATATAATTACTAGAATTTTATACAGATAAATAAAACAATAACAAATAACAGAATCAATTTTAATAATTTCATCTCTGTTATAAGAAAAATATAGACAAGACAAAACATAAAATAAATGAAAAATAAAGTTGATCCAAATTCTAAACGAAGATGTGCAGAAGAGACATAGCTATAATGAACTAAATATGTATATGAATAAACATGTATACTTTCAGTCTTTCACAAAGTTTTGTTAATGTAACTTAAATATATATATATATATATATATATATATATATCTTGTTCAAGAAGAGAGATAATTGAAGAAGAGGAGAGACTGAGAGGAGTGAGAAAATAAATTTTGTCTCACAAAAGTGTCGGACCGTGTGTCTGAGCCTCGGACACGCGTGTCCAATAAAAAATAATATTTAGATACTTTATAGAAGTGTCGGATACGTGTTCGAACCTCGGACACGGGTGTCGGTGTCTGAAAAGTATCCGACACGGGTACAGGACCCTTGGGAGGAGTGTCCGTGCTTCATAGTTTATTATCAAGCGGTGCTACACGACCTAACTGTATTGCACCCGACATCTACCGACACATCTACGTGGCTGTCCACGTTGCCATCTTCTCTCTGACTCATCCATAGCCCTCGCCGCCATCTCTCCTCAACCAAAATTGCCGCCATCATCTCCCTCCTTATACCGCCACCACTTCTCAACCACAATCGCTGCCGCCATCACTTCTCCTCCACCACAGCGGCCGCCGCCATCTCTCTCCACACAGTATCACCCCTTGGGTTCCATAACCACCACATCTTTTCTCCCTCTATTTCTTCTGTGTTTTATATACATACATATATTTATATACACAGGCCCATACACACATATATCCAACTGAAATCATATACTGCCCAAACGGAGACGATGGATTCTTTAGATTGCTTTGATTACCACTTGCTGGGTTTGGCTTCAGCTTCAGCGAGAACGTGAGCCGGATCATGAAGGCACTGCCGGCGAATGCGAAGATCTCGAAGGACGCGAAAGAGACGGTGCAAGAGTGCGAGTTGGAGTGCATCAGCTTCATCACCGGCGAGGCCTTCGACGATTTGCTTTTTGCTTTCAGCCCATTTGTTTCCTTAATTTGAACATCAATTTCAACAAGAAGCTAGCTCAATTTCTTCTCCAACAACCCAATTTCTGACTCTCTCTCTCTTCCCTTTCTCAATCTCACACTTCTCCCTCACAACCTCCCTCATTTCTCTCTCTAGTTTCTGCAATCTCCCCTCACTCTCTGCTCTTTCTCTCACAAACCGATTTCTCTCCTCCGCAATCACTTCAACCTGTTGATTAACACACACAAAAACAAATTCAGAAACTAAGTTCCTCTCCAACTCCGGTCCCTTTTCCGTTTCAGACCGTGTTATCTCCGATTCCAAAGACCATTTTTCCTGGGGGAGTGAGTCCAGTTGTTTGCGGCTCTCAGTGGTCTCCTTGAGAAGAATACTATTTGGGGTGGTTTGGTGGAATTAGTGGCGGCTGTGGTTGGGGGCGGTAAGAGGAGGAAGAGAGAGAACAAAGAAAGGACAATTGAAAGAGAAGAATTGGACGAAGCTCTGGCCTCTGGGATCAACTCGTGTCGTCCTTTTGGCGCAATCCTCGGCTAAGCTCAAACTGATCTGGAGTACTGTGAAGGCAGAGAGATGAGAGGCGCCGCAGGAGAGAGAAGGGAGAAAGATGAGAGGATTGAAAGAGATGAGAGAGAGTAAAATTGTCTGCCTAGCTGTATCAATCAACATTTGACAAGTGGTTGTCCGTTAAAGTCGGTGAACAGTAGTCGGGTCATTTAGCATTTCTCTTTATTATCTGTTAATTGCTATGAGGGCTAATTTTGCCATTTTAAAATTTTTGCCCCATCACGTGACAGACATGCGTTAGTTTCTGTTAAAATTTTAATGGTGATTTAACATTTGCAATAAATGGAATACGATAAGGTGTTAAGTGTATTTCACATAGTTTAGGGAGATTTTTTTTGAGAAAGAAAGAAAATTTAGGGAGTTTAGTGCACTTTACCAAACAAATTATAAAGAAGCCGAAGCTGGCAAAGCAATCACTAGATAATTCTTTTGACAATCTTACTCCACTGGCTGGGTCTTTTCCTTCTCCAGTGGCTTCCCAGATGAGTAATATGTCCAACCCTAATAAGTTCATCAAACTGCTTGGTGGCCGGGATCGAGGTAGGAAAGCCGAAGCAACAAAGGTACTCTATGAGAGCTAGTCAACCATGTGCCTGATCCTGTCCCGGTTGTTGTCGTTGTTCTATCTTTATTTGAGCATATCTATGAAATTGAGCTTTTAATCCTCTTTGCAGATGCCTGTTGGGCTGCCAGGTTCAGGAAGTGAATGGTCGCTATTTGAAGAGCAGGTTAATATTTCGTTTTCATTCTTTAATTTATAATACATATATTTTGTTAAGACATATTATCATGTGTTTGCAATGTCGTTTTGACATCTTAGGCACTTGTTGTCCTGGTACATGATTTGGGTCCTAACTGGGAGCTTGTGAGCGATGCTATCAACAGTACTTTGCAATTCAAGGTAAGATGTACGACACATATTAAATCAACATGGTGTGCTAGATTTTATTATTTCACTTATCCTGCCTTTTTTAGGTTTCATAAAACAGTTTAAGCTTTAACTTAAAGAAGTTATTCACTATAATACTTATATATATATATATATATATATATATATATTCTTAAAGGGTGCGATCATATTTTACCTATATTTTTAAGTGCTCTTTCGTTTTTCTTTATTTAATCTTTTATTTTTTATATTTCTGTTTCTTGCATTTTAATTTGCTAATCTCATGGTCTTATTCAACGTGTGCAGTGTATATTTCGCAAGCCTAAAGAATGCAAAGAGCACCACAGCCGTTTAATTGATAGGACTAATGGTGATGGAGCTGATAGTGCTGAAGATTCAGGGTCTTCTCAACCATATCCATCTACCTTACCTGGCATTCCAAAGGCAATATTTTTTATTATTTTTAAAATTTGACATATTTTTTGCTTTATTTATTGGCATTATATATCTTTACCTTCTGTTGAGTTAATTTTAGCCGCTTTAATTGGCTGTTGGTGCTGCATGTCACACAGGGCAGTGCCAGACAGTTATTTCAACGTCTGCAGGGGCCAATGGAAGAGGAAACCCTCAAATCTCATTTTGAGAAAATCATTGTGATTGGGCAAAACCAGCATTATCGGAGGACTCAGGCATGTTTCTGTCTAAACAATTGACTATACATATGTGTGTGCTGGTTGCATGTGATTCGGGTTATAAAATTAGAACTGCCTCCATTTCCTATGTCTTTCAGTTTGTTAATTTTCTGTTTCCTCAAGGTGGTGCCTTTGAGCAGCGTTCGTATTTTTTGTTCCCCATGGCAGTAATTGATAGCTTATCTTGGTGTAGTGTAGTAGCAGAAAAGCTAGTGAAATAATATAGAGAAAATATTGTGTTAAATGTCATGGAAGGTGGAAACCACATAAATATAGTTTGATTACTACCTAATAACTTCTCTTACATTATCTGCTTCTCACTTGAACTCATTATCACTGATTTATATTTTCTTGTTGTATATTGAAGAATGATAGCCAGGACATAAAACCAATCCAGCCGCACAATTCTCACTCACTTGCTCTTTCCCAAGTCTGCCCAAATAACGTGAACGGGCCTCCTCTGACGTAAGTTTTTGGTGGTGCTCTGAATTATAATGGTTCAATTTCTGTGTACTACTTATTGGCCATTGCCACTAATTCATTCTCACTAGTATAATTGTATCATTTTTTCATGTTCTGTTACATGTAATGGCTTTTGTCTTTCTTGAGGAACTGTTACAGTAACTATTTATTTATTTTTCTTATTTTAATTTTTTTCATCAATGAAGGCCTCTTGATCTCTGTGATGCAATTGTATCAAACCCTGATGGTCTTACCCTTGGGATGTTTTCACATTCTGATTTTATGTACTCGTCATTTCTCTTAGGGATGGTAGATATGGCGTTCCAAGAACAGCAGCTTTATCTATTGATGAACACCAGAAAATGCAACAATATAATCAAATGTGATCTGGTAGAACCGTTCAGCAATCCAGCTCGTCTATACCTGGGACTCTTCCAGGAACTGATCGTAGTGTTCGTATGTTACCTGGTGGAAATGGTTTGGGAATTATGGGAGCGAATAGAAGCATGCCAATGGCGAGGCCCAGGTTTCAAGGAATGGCCTCATCATCTATGCTGAATTCTGGATGTATGCTTTCTTCTAGTATGGTGGCGATTCCAGGCCCTGTAAATATGCACTCTGGAGCTGGTTCTTGTCAGGGAAGTTCAATGTTAAGACCTCGTGATGCTTTGCATATGATGCGGGTTAGTTGTCTACTGTAGTCCTCTTCTAGACTAATATGGCCTTCTTAATAATTGTTTTTTTTATCATCCGTAGGTCAGTATTGGGTTTGAATCGCATTATGAATCATACTTGTATTGATTAATTTCCTCTGTTTTGATGACGCTAGCTATTCCTCTATTTCCTATTAATAATTGTACTTTATATTTGAGAGTGATAAAGAGTGAAGTTGAATTGCTAGCAATTCTTATGTTTTAGGTGTAATTCTGTCAGAGTGCTAAAAGATGCTGGCATAGCATCTTAAAGGGAAGGGGCACTATCATTCTGTCATGTTGTATTACGTTTTTATTTTTGGGGTAAAGTACACTAATTTCCCCTGATATTAGGCAAAAATACACAAGATATCCGTATTAAAAATTACTGACCTCCCTTTAACTTTATACTATGTTATAGAAACCTCCCCTCCATTAAAGTTGACTGACGATTGAAGATAGAATTTGCTGACAGCAGCAAACAGAAATTCAATGGAGTGGGATATCCATATTTGAACTCTGCTCAAATGTTCCCTTCTCATGATGAGAATGTGCACTACAGTATAGCTGGTTGCTCTGGTCTGGATTAGTGAATTTAAGAGTAATGTAATTGAGTCGATAATCAAATAATAGATTATGAGGTCATAACCTAATTAATATAATATGGGTAGAAGGTGTGTATGACTGTATGTAGAGGACTTAAGTTATTACAGGCCCTCCAAGAATGTTGAATAATCAGCAGAAAATGTATCCTGCCCAAACAGTCTCTTCGTCAAAGCAGCTCCGGCTGCCTTCTTTTCATCCTGATAATGGAGATCAAGGTCATCTTCAACCAGTTGTTTCTGGTCCCACGTTATCAGCTTCCCAGCAAGCTGTTCCACCCTTGGTCATTGCTTCTTCCAACCATCAGCAGCCGCACCAAAAGTTGGTTAATCAAACTCAGCCGGCTGTTCAAAGAGTGCTACAACAGAATCGTCAAGTGAATTCTAACCCACAGAGCAAGTTGCAAGTCAATCAAGCTCAAGGTGACCAACAACCTGTGACCAACTCATCGCAGATGAGTAACACAGTGGCAATGCCTCAGGCCTGCGTAGATAGGACTAATGTAGTACCTGTGATTTCTTCCACCAGCACTTCTCAGCGGAAAGCACCAGAACCATTATATGATTCTGGTATGTCACATTCAACGACACAGTTGGTTCCCATTGAGAGTCCACCTTTAACAAGTTCTGCTGGGAGTGAGCCTACACTCTCGGTGAGCCAAGGGCTAGACCAGAGGCAATCGTCAGGCAGCTTGCCGCATATTGGGCATAATGTTAGTGCACAGGGTCATCAGCAGCATTCGCTGCTACAACCACCTCCCACACCACCACCGCAGCAGCTGCTGCAGCAACAATCACCACAACAACAGCTGCCACCTCAACAGCAATCTCAGCAGCAGATGCAGCATCTTGAAGCAGGGAACAACAGTTTGTATATCGGGCCCACTAACTCTAGACTGGAATGATGCATTCTAAAGGATTGAGCAATTCTTGGAACGGCAGGTCTGGTCCAGTTTAGGTCGGCATGCCTTTGTAACTGCAGTGTACAGGTATGTTAAGTTCCCTTTTATGTCAGATATCGGCAACTGTAGTCTGACATTCACTTATGAAGTCTCTTATACTTATCTTGATTATATAAATTTCATAAAATCATATTACCAATGTTTTTGCAAAAAAAAAAAGGGGAGGGGGCATCTAAAAGGCCATATATATATATATATATATATATATATATATATATATATATATATATATATATTCATTTTAGAAAATAATTCCAGAAATAATTCGTGTATCCTTTCTATGTTTATATGTTGAAGGACATACGGCAATTTTGGCTTCACTGCACCTGAATCTGGGCTTTTGAATTGTAAGTGGTGTGGGAGCTCTGGATATTGTTACACAATTTAATGGAACAAGAGGCTGATGTATAATGGTGTTTTGTGCAGATGAAGTTCATCACTCCATCAAGGAGGAAAGAGAGTCTGATTGTTATCTGCTGATTCTGTTAAGAGTTAATGAAGGGATACTAGCAGGTTAATTATTTTTGGGCATTATGTATATTACCATTGCCTTGGAGCTTCAGGAAGATAGAGACAGATATAAAGGTATGTGTACAGGGTCTCGTCTCTCTTTCAATTACTTTTTTTTTTTTTCCTTTCTTAGAAAAAAGAGTAGCCGCTTCCCCTTTATATTAAGGGGTTAGTTATCATTGTCAGGGCCAAAGCCTTTGGGAAATTTTGTGAATACAATTTCTAGTGTATACAATTAGCAATGTTGAACAATCACCATCTGTCAATGCTATGGGAGCTTGTGCGATCCAAAGATACAATTTAGGTATTACATGTTGGGTTTCTCAGCAAAAGCTTCGTGCTGCAAATTTTCACTTGAAATTTCGTCAACACGTAGAATCTTTTTCTTTTTGTAGATAGATACCAATTAAAACTAATCCTGACTCAGAAAAAAATGTATACCACAAGCATAAAACCATAATGCTGTGGCATCATGGAATGCTGACAGTACAAAAATGTAACTGACCAAAATTGAAGTTGACTTCCCACATGGAGCAGTTTTAGACGTCCAATGTTATCAACTTAAAATATTATTTTCCAATTATTATTATTATTATTATTCAAATTTCATGGTCTAAACATTTTTTTACCAATTTGGATTGTTTAAATGTTGACTGTTTCATTAATAGAAACTATTGCATATAAAATTTGATGATAAAATTAAAAAATATGAAATATAAAAAACTCGATAATGAAGTTTGTTGTGTATATATTTTATCTAAGAAACATACTGGAAGGAAATGATGCTGGTAAATTTACCGGAATGGGAGGAGAATGGATTTCATTTTGCTGTCGAAAGAATTTCATTTGCATTTGTTGCACCATCTGGGTTCGAACAAGGTAATGATACATTTCATTATTAAAAGAACCATAACATTTTTTGGATTACCATTTTCTACTTCTGTAAATCAGTTTATTCCGTTAAAAAACAAACAATGATGTCGAATTTCATATTATGTACACAAGGCAATTTTGAACAAGCAACTCACTACAATAAAGCCTATAAATTTTTCTGGGAGAAACCAGTCCAGAGATAAATAACCTGCATCTTCCACTGCCAACTCGACAACCTGAAAAAAGGGAAAGAAAAAAGATTTGAAACGATATACCAGAGAAAGACGATGGTAATGTGGCGTTGGTGATAGCGATGACCTTATTAAGAGTGCTAACCTGTCGAGTCTCGAAAGTGAAATCATTCAAGAAATTCAGCAAATTCATGTCCAAAATTCGAGATGAGAGGTTACGTGCCAAGCATTGCTGAGACATAAGAGGCATGGCCAAATGAACATTTCTGCAAAATTTGTCTCTGAAAATCCATGCCAATTATCTATCTTCCACGGGGGATGGACTTGCAACTTCTCAGCCAGCAGGAGTTTGTCCCCTGTTATAAGCAAAGCAATAGCAACAAGTTAAGGGACTGCCGGAATAATTATACCTGAACGAGTATTTTATGAGCTTGAAGAACTCCAATCCCATGCTACCGAACATAGCTTAAATTGTATTTCTTTGGGCAACAAGAACTTACTACATTCAAGCTGTTCTCCCTCAATGTTTCCAGCGACTGAGCAATCTCCAATTGTTCTGATGCAGTTGCAAACAACACCTACAGCAATGGGAAAAAAATAAAGGTTTCGTTCCACCACTCGATGTTGAATAATCAAACAAGGATACTTACAAAATATATATATATATATATAATCAAGATAAGTATAAGAGACTTCTGAGCAATATAAACATCAGATTTCAGAACCAGTAAGTCTAACCTTTTTTGTTTTCTGCAAGTCGTACTCTATGGATTTTATACGACTCATGGACTCGAGCAGCATGTCCTCTTTCTCTCGAGGAATACTTGTGTGTTTGTTGGACAGCTCAGTTATCTGTGCCTCTAAACGTTGCAATCTCTGACAGCATGGATCGAGTAGGTCCATTTCTTTAGTCTGAGAAATCTGTTGTTCTTGAGAATTTAAATCTGACAACTCGGGTTTCTGTTGCCTTTTCAACTGCTCGTCCGTATTATTCCCCACAAAAAATTTGCCCAAGACTGGGACTAATACATAAATACATGCTAATAATTTGAATATGAGGTCAACCACCAAACTTGTTATGAATTTCTTTGGCAGCCTTCTTTTTATAACATTATCTGTTGCAAGGGTAAAAGTGATGTGAAAAAGCTCAGCACTAAATAAAATTAAATTTCTTGATAATGAGAAGCTAACAAAATTTTATTGAATAGTAAATAATTGATGCTTTCTATACTAGACCTCAAACAACATTTTCCGAAAGAAAATATTAAAGTTTCTATTGGCACTAATACATGCTAAAGGAAGATTAAAGATATGAAGAAAAACTATAAGCCTCACAATTTCAAACATCAAACACTATATACGTGATTGACCTAGTTCTTTGCTCATAAATCATTTTCCTATGCAACTTAAAAACGGCACCAGAGATTGTGGTTTTCTGAATCAGAGAGGTTCTCATTTGATACTTGCAAATTGCAATCTCATTGACAGATTGAGAACCTTTTACCACACTTTTTTAATGTAATAGTTGAGAATTATGTATTTTCCAATTTCTCATTATATACCATGTCTCCTGTTATGTTTAATTTTTTAAAATCATTTTAATTACTTCATCCCGTGTAAGTTTTGCTTGGCCACTTTATCGCTTACCTTCTAGGCAAACAACCCTTCCTCCTATAACTGGTGCATCTTCGGATATGACCATACCACATAAGTCTACTTTCTCTAATTTTATCATTAATAGACGCTAGTCCTAGTTTTCCCCTCACTCTTTTATTACTAATATAATATAGTGGCCTAAATCCTAATAACCATCCTATCGAATTTTCCTAATTTATTTGATTTTCATTTGTCACATAGGATACAATTAGCTTGCCTCCATTTTGTCCACCCTACTCCAATCATACTTACTACATCACCCATCTATCTTCATTTGTCATATAAGATACGTATATTCATATACATCGTATATGAAGCCATATCTTCCAATAATAGATTTACAAAAGTTAAGCATCGCTAGAGCAGTCCTCAGAAGAAGAAAAGAAAAAAAAAAAAAAGAAAAAGAAAAAAGTAAAAGGATCAAGCATCATCACAGGATTAGAATAAGCTAGACTTGAATTTATAGTTCATTTCTTCCCTGAAATATGGATGAGGCCATATATATACAATCCCAGCTCAATTGCAAATTCACCCTACAGGACTATGTCCTAACGTGATCCGAGACAAAGCACTGACCATTGTCAACCCTATTGATATGGTTTTACTTTTCTTTAATTCCATCCCAACTGCTTTTTTGCCTATCCTTTTTTGAACATCATGACGCTTACTACCCAACAATTTGGCAGTGAATAACCGGTCTATAAGTTTTGAGTATCAAACCATACGATCACTACAGAAGTATATCTTGAGAATCTTGAGTTAATCTCCGGGGATATTTGAACATTATTAATCATGAAGTAGATATTTGAAAAATATTAATAAAAATAAAAGTTTAATTAATTGATAATAGGTTGAATGGTCACTTACTTGTTGAACTGGCATATTCATCATCAGCCCCACCAGTAACTGGTTCAACAAGGCTGCGGATAGATTCAGGTTCCATCCTTTCCTACAGCAAGGAAGGCACAAAGCAAAAGAATACAGAAGTAAATAATTTTTTCTGTGATTGTATCATGAAAATACAAAGATCATTCAGATTATAGAGATGTTGCTTTTGTTCCTGGAAAAAGTAGCAATGTTTTTTGAGTGGAAACTCCAATTTTTGAAAACTGACACTCGAAACAGTTAAATGAGTGTACAAATTGATGGAAATATATACCAACTAACTATTTTCAAATTAAACCCAGTTCAAAAGTTTGAAAACAGAAGTCAGTAACATGTACCTCATCTATAAGCAGCGTTTGTTGCACTATGTCATAACTATGAACTCCTATATCAGATCCTGACTTGGCAGACATTATTTTAGTACTTGGAACCTGTATAAAGAAGAAAAGTTTTGGTTAAAACATAAGATATGGCTATAAGGTGCCTGAGAGTCAGTATGCAAAGGTAATTTATCAACAATTCACCTTGGAAGCAAATGAAGTGACTTCAAAATCATCACCATCAGATAAACTAGTATTTTCCTCTAAAAGCATTGTTTCTCTAATATGTACCAGCTGCAGGTAAGAGTCAGACAAGTAGTAACATAAGTGTGCAGTACAAAACCTTACGAAACAATATGGGAATAATTTGAAGCTTATGTTGCTCATTTATCAGTATTTATGATCAAATAGTGCTACCAAAAGACTATGACCCTACCTTCATCAGCTCTGGATCATTCCAGGGCCCATTGTCAGAGCTCAGACACCCACCATCAATTGGGCATGAGCAGGTTCCACCAAGAAAATCTGGCAGCTGGCTGTTTGGATTAAAGGAGTTAAAATTAAATTTGAGAGTCCCCAAACTATCCAGCAGGAGCCATATGAAGGATGATACAATAACAGAAACAGAAGGCTAACCTTGAATCTATAACTTCCAACAACCTTTTCCTAAATTTGTTGCCCAGAACCTGTGTCATGGATACATATCATACTCTAACAGAGTTCATATGACCTCCAAATATCTAAAAATATGTAAAATTATTTAAAGGTCATGTTACATGTATCTTTGATGCTGTCCTTGGATCAAGAAAGCCTTTTATCGTGTTCCATATAAATTTGAATCCATGACCGGCATTAACAATGAACATTTGATGTAATGTCTGCAAAGAATGAGTTAGTATCAGAAAAAAAATATCAGGTCACATAGATAATAAAATATTCAATTATCTTTTACTTTAGTTTTTAGAGGAGGCACCTCAGGATAGTTGTCACCATCTATTTTCTGCATGCGCATAACTAGATCATGTGCAACCTTGCCAAAACTCATCCAGTTCTGCAGAATCAAGGAAATAATAAGAATAGAAATTGAAAATAAAAATGTTATGGATAAGTGAATTGATACTTTTGCAGGCTCAGAACTAACCACCCCATGAACATCCAGGATCGTTGTTGTGGAATCTATATGCCTCTTGGCTGCAATTGAACATGCTGGAAACTTCTCAGTGAAAGCCTTCTCAAACCCCTGGACGTGGTATTTTAAGAACCTGTCCACTGTGGTGACACTCATAAGTTTATTAGGTTCAACTTTGCCAAGTCTTTCAATATAAACTGGTCGTCCTTCTTTATCTACACCATGGTAACCATGAGGGTAATAATGCTTAACTTCTTCATATTCATCATATATGAAGTCCTGCACATAGAACATCGTGTCACAGCATCTATCAATTGTTGAGAAATATCATTAAAAAGAAGGCAAAATATAGCAGATACTTCTTGTAAATCGCGCAATAGACTATACACATGGTTAAAGAAATCAACACTCCACTACTCCAGTAATCTCTCTCTTTTCCCCTTTGTTATAAAGAAATAGGAAGAAAATAGATAGATAAGTATTTGTATAGTGTACTGAGTGAAGAAGCCATAGCTTTCACATGAAAACTTGAAAAAAATAATAATAAAAATAGTGAGGCAGGAACTTTATGAATATCCCTTGCAACAGAAAACAAAAAGTGAAGTTGACGATACCCACTCTTTCCTTGATGCTATTGAAGCCTCTCGCTCTCTGAATGCAGCTGCCTCATTTTGTTCAATTGATTTAAGAAAAACCATCTAGTTTAATCACCATAATTTCAGGTCACAGGACTAGAGTTCATATTTTAACTAACAAATTTTTGTGCTGCAGTTCTTCTTTTCTCCCTGTTTTGTGTTTTTTTTTTTTTTTTGGGTGAGTGGTTCAGGCACTACAGTTGGCTTCCAAAGTAGTGAGATGATGAAAACAATGGACTGCTCAAAAAGGACTATGGAGTAAGAACAAATACATAATCAAGTAATTCACAATCTCCCTCCACATTAAACCAACATGTGAACTTTTCACATTGTGATAGACGAGATAGGGAATGACCAGCAACAGCAAACATTTGACAGGCTGATAAATTTAAACACCATCTCCCCTGACAATCACAATTGGTACAAGAATTGCACCATGCTTTTAAGTATTGGTATCAGTAAAGATCATATAAAACCACTCAGTTCACATCTATTCTCTGCAAGGCTTAAAAAAACAAAATTAAAGTTTCTGTTAATGCACAGACCTTCCTGAATGGAAAATTGTATTAATTCGGAAACCCAGATTGAAGAATGTTGGGAAAACAATCGGGCATAATTTAGACCCCGGCTTTGAGTTTATTCAGACCCAAAACAAAGAGAATGGAAAATTGATTTGAAATGTGAGTAGATTATCTACAACTTTTAGCAGGTAAACTACCAGTCCAACAACCAATTTCTTACCATGAAACCGTAACAACCTTGAAAGGTCGCACATTTCTCACTAAATTTTTGGGAGACTTACCACCGTGTATTTTGTCATATTTTCGGATTCAGAAGCAAGTTAATCTCATAAAGAAAAAATAATAGAAATTAATGCTGGACAAATATACAAAAATGAGGTAATCTACCAGGTTAGAGCCTTCGCTGGAGAAAGTATTGTAGATAGATGGTTTCCAAAATAAGGCAGTAAGCAAATGGCAATAATTTCATGTCAACCACTTAATGCAAGTAAGAATGACAGATCAGATAGATGCACATATCTAACAAGGTTACATAAGGGAACAGATGCATGTCATGATGGTATGATCCAAATAGGAATGGTCAATAATCTAAAACTACTGACTGAAACTCAATCCATATCCCTACCAGTGGTCATTCTTAAATTAATTATCCTGATCCTTCTCAAAATAGCTCCTCCAGTCCTTTTTTTTTTTTTTGTCTTTATGTTCTACGGATACAATCGCACCAAGTGATGACTGGACATTGATATCGTTCATACGGGGTTATCATAACCGAACTGAACCAATCGATTTAACCTGTTGATCAGGGAATTGGAACCCAAACTAGCATGTTTCAGTTATTGCACAGCCTAAATAAAGAACTGATAGGAACCAGCTACCTGATTGGTTTGCTGATGAACCACTCAAACCAGCAAGCTCAATAAGAAGCGAGTTAAGCGACTGGGTTTAGTAATACTGTCTGAAGGACATTATTACCTAACCTCAGAGTTCTAGTCTTTAGTATAAAAGAGTTTTACATAAAGAAAATAAATAGGACGATCAAATGATATAACGAAACCTTAGAAATGGCTCATTCCACTTTAAGTTCCTATATATATTTTGTGTTTAGGTATATGTAATAACATTTGGGTTAGCTTCAAATGTTATCATTTATATGTCAATTGTTGTAATCTAGTACTCAAATAAGTGGTTTTCAAGGAATTATAGTAATAGTGGGCTCTTTTACAGTCCACACACCCCCAGCAATTTGCATATCTTTGTTCACAATTTAATACCAATTATTTTTATCATATATTTCTATTTTCTCTATATATTTCTATCTTCTTTAATTTTTCAGTTATATAACTGGTTGAACCTGCCTGTTGACTGACTGTTGTCACAAGGTTTATCATATTTGTCACAAGGTTTAAACCAGTGAACCTGCCTGTTGACGATATCTGATACAATATTATTAACCATGGTTCATTGGTAGTACCTAATGCTCCTTGGAAAACATTTACATGTAATGTAAGTTAACAGAATTAAGCCAATGAAAAAAAAAAAAAAAAATTACCAGAATTAACTTGTGTTCTAGTCAATGTCCAATTTTTGGAATTTGTTTCTGACTATTCCCTAGGTGAATATAGTTCCACACTTTCCTCATCATGTCCCAAGGTTAATTTCAATGTCAAAAGATTGGGGAACTAAAGGACGAGTGGCAACATATTATAGTTATAATTATCCACATCCAAAAATGGAGAAATTATTGAGTTTTTGACTTCCTATAAACGAAAATAAAAATAAAAATGGAGCAATTATTCATTTATTTAAACCTTTTGACAATCCCAATGTTTTTAGCAACTAATATAATTGTTACATCATAAACATTTGCTGTTACCATGAAACTTTTATGAAGGGCCAACGTCGAGTAGATTTTAAAAAGTCCAAAGCTGCATGCAGCACATACAGGTAAGATAAACTTTACGTTATAATCACTACCATGATTGTTTATATTACTTGCCCCTCCTTGGAGCTCATATTGGCTAAAATCCCCATTATTCATCAGAACCATTGAAAAAAAATGCACCAATAATAAAATTAAAACAATGCTATAACTAACAATGTTACCTGTATAATAGAGTCTGCTCCGAACTCCTTCCTCCAATTGAGCATTTCTGCCCACATATGGACTGTTTTATCAATGTCAAACTTTCTTGCCTTCAAAAATCTGAATAAGATCCATGTTTCCTCTTAACAACTTATGAGAAAGAAAAGGAATAGAAAAAGATAATAGAAGCAAAATTTTCATTATCCAGAACGGTCAAGGTAGTAGAAGCTTTTTTGGACAATTAAGCCTTGTCACATACTTAATCTATTGATCCTGTTAAAACTACGGATTTTGGTGCAATAGTTACCATACTGAAGTCTACAGACAGAATACAAGCATATCAAACCGATTAAGATTTCATTGATTAATAAATAAATTGTAGAAAGAGCTTTACACCATGTTCGGTAGAGAATGAGAGAAGAGAACACAAGTTTTAAGAAATTCTGACTGGCTAAACTGTTTAAAGGAGATAAAAGAACAAAAGTGTGATGTAATCAGAAGAGAGAAGAGATTCTAGAGATCCTCCATAACTATGATCATATGAGATCCACCAAATCTATCACCAACCAATTATATCTCCATAATAGTTGGGCGATTCAAGAAGACATAGGAGAAAACTGCAGCAATTTATTTCTTTCTATTTATCATAAGGAAGGCATGCACCACCATGTACAAAAAAAGAGAACTTTAGGAATTCCTTTTGTTCGAAGGGTTTTCTACTCAATGAGGTGCATAAAATGATGAATCTAGAAAATTAATTATATTTCAACACCCTAGGTGGACAAATTGTATGGAACCAAATTTCAAACTCAAGTTGAGTACTGATTTTGGCAAATTTTTTATTATCTTTCAAGTCAAATATAAACTAGAAAAAAGAACTTTATTTGGATCACAACCTAGGTGCTTAGTGCTGAATTTCCCACATGGAAAGAAGCCAAATTGCCAAGCCTCTTTCCTCAAATAGGCCAAAAACAGAAATCCAAGTTGAGTCCATTGTAGACAAATCCTTGAGAACAAATATGAATAGAAAAAACATCTCAAATTTTCGTAAATATAAAATCAATAGTATCATTAACCAACTAGGATTATCTTTTGTAGATTTCTGGGAAAAAAACATCTGATTTCTATATAAATTCAATAAGTTAGACTGACAAGCATGAAGACATGGTTTTAAGTCTCAGACTAAGAAATCGTCAACCAAAAAAAAAAAAAAAAGGCTGAGACAGCCATTTTGTGCCAAACAATGCCAAAACTTAGGTCTTTCTACAATCTCTTCCTCCTAAGTCCCAATTGTAGGCGGGATCAGTACTGGGTAGTGACTCTTTCTTTTAAGTTTAATCCAACAAGGTCAGCTAATCTTATTGTTCATCTATGAACTTGACTCAAGCTCGTAATTCCCATATTACTCTCCCATAAAACAAAATAAGTATTTCTTCTATACTCCACAACCTGTACCAGGGAGGCAGGGACTGAGAGGAACAAAGTTGTACATATGGTCCATTAAATATTTAAGACAGACAAACACATGATAGGTGTTAGAGGATAAATAACTAAGTTACTCCCTCTATGATAACTTAAGTTTGTTAAATTGATGGTGACTAACATGGCATCACAGCAAGAAATGTCCTAAGTTCAAAACTTAATGTCATCTCAATGATTATAATTGATGCTACAAACAAATGATAGCTGTTAGAGGATAAATAATTTAAGTCTCCCTCTATGATAGTAAAAGTTTGTTGAATTGATGGTGACTAACATGGCATCATAGCAAGAAATGTCCTAAAGTTCAAAACTTAATGTCATCGCAATGATTATAAATGTTCCATGTATTGGCTAAAGAAAAACTCTGTTTCTAATTTTATGATTACTGTTCACATAAGTGATTAACTTTTCTGACCTCAGAAAAGTATGGTAGTCATCATGGCGATCTCGAAGTAGATCTTTCGCAATCAAGGCCTCCCGAAACGCATTCACCACCTTCTCTTCCTCCTCGTCTCGAACATCTTCAATCGAAATCGACGCGGAACGACAATGGGCAACGCGCTTTCTGCGCCTCCTTAGTGTATGCTTAAATTTCGATGAGGCATTCATTGCCTCCTTCTTCAAAGATCTGATCCGAGTGCTTCTCTTCTCGTCCTCGGAGGTGTCAAGGTCAGATCTTCTCATTCCATCATTTTCTTGATTCAGAACTACTTCTCCTAAAATCAAACAATCAAAAGGTATTAAAACACAAGAAAAACCAAAATTTGGCACTCAAATTGATTCAAGACCTACAAAAATGAGCATAAAAGTACCTGGCATTGTATCTCAAACACACACAATTCGAATCTACAATGTCTCTGCATCAAACAATAAAACAGAAGTCATGAATCTAGAAAGAAATTATGCATAGATCTACAAGATTCTCCGTTAAAACGCGTAGTCACTGAACCAGTCAAATCCGAGTCGAATTCAGGGAAAGTTGGTATAAACGAAGAAATTCAGCATAATCTCAATACAATAAGTAATCAAAATCAACATCGATTGAAACGAAAACATCCAGAAACGAAGATCAAAGATTAACGATGAAAAGTGACGATCAATTGAGTCTACACACCTTGAAAGAAGCCACATTCAAACAATGCAGGTAATCAGGTATGCGGAGAACGAACAATCGTATCTAAACTCTCTTCGATATATATATATACACACACACACATATATATTTTATATATGCATAGTTGATGTGAAGCGTGAGCGTAGTTAGCGTTGCTTTCTCGTCACTCTCTCTCTCTCTAGCTCTTTCTCTGTCTAAAACTACAATAGCGGAGAAACGGAGCTGAAGTTGCTATCTGGTTACGTGGGAGGGAGCGCTCTCTCGCAACTCTTTTTTGTATAAAATTTCTCTCTATATGTATAACTCTATTTAATTATATCTATATCTATATGTGTGTATAATGTCTTAAGTGGATATAGAGAGAGAAAGTGAGTATAGAGAGAGAAAGAAAGGGACTGTAGCGTGCAACGGCCGGTTCTGGAAACCGGCGAGATAGTTGTTTGGGTTGTTTGATGTTACGAACGTTTCGTGCTTCTAGGCAACGCGCCGTCTGGTGAGGGACGGAGGTTATGAGGCGTGAAGGACGTTAGGCATATTGGGTTCACTTTTTTGTGTGTCCATTTGGGGATTAGAATATTAGGCTGGTTTGGTTCCATTTTTTTATAATTTTTTTTTATTTTTAAATAATAATTAGAAGAAAAAAAGAATTTGTACTATTATCAATTTATAAAAATTATTTTATGAAGATTAATGCTAGAATAACTGAATTGTTTTTTGTGGACTCCCATAACTAGCGTCTAACAATAATTCTTTTTAGTATTTAGAAAAGATGAGAATTCCGATCGTTTGTTATTACTATGATGTGTCATGGGTAAACATTTAGGACGAGAGGCCTAATTTTATATAATCGTGACAAGAGAGACACTAGTTATTTTCAGTCTGTACAAAAAAATTCGATCACTCAATCGAATATTCTAGATTAGGAAAATGACATTATTAGTTGCTTAATTGGTTGATTTTTCAATCTTTGAAAAGATATATCCGTGTTTGAATTCATCTCCTCTAATTTTGGTAACACATATAGCAACGAGAATATTTTTGACGAGTGTACCCTCTCCGCCCCGCCCAAGCCCAAGCCCAAGCCCAAGCCCGGCTAACCAAGGATCTTCCCACCACATCCTGCCCCTTTTTTTCACTTTTTCACCTTCCTAGCGCTAGCGCTAGCCCTGGCTCATTTAGTCCTATAATTTTTCCTCCATTTTAAAATTTTTTCTCCTCAAATACAATTATATAACTATTAAAAATTCATTAAAAAATAGTCATCAATACCTTAACATAAAATTCAACATTACAAATGCCGAATGAAAATATGAGATTTAGGGTTTCTAATGTTATGTGTCTATAAAATAAAAATAATTTAATAATTTACCTATTTAAACGTGTAGCGATCTCATCCCGCACCTGCCCTCCCAAAATTGTCATAAACGGAATAAATTGCCATCTCGATTTGGCCGGATTAAAATATATATATATATATATATATATATATATATATCCTGAAAAAAAATAAAAATAATTTTAAAAAAAAAAAGGACTTGTAACAATTTTTTGGTTTGTGAGTACTTTAGAACTGCCTATATATTTTTGGAAGCAAGTTTATAAAAGAACTCTTAAATATTGAATTTTTTTTTTCTTCCTTTTTTTCTTTCCCCTAAAAAAGTGAGTAATCTATGTTCAAGTTTAATAATCCAAATATATTGATTTGAGTCGAATTTCAAATAACTATATGGAATGAGTTATTTAAATTCATGTTGACAAAAATTTCAGTAATTAAAACGAGGATTGTAATATTCCTTGATTTTGGTGATCCGCATTCAATAAACAATCTTTTGTTTAAACTCAAATTTTTTCATTTAAAATTCATTCATTTAATCAAATGAAACCTAATTTCAAATCATTTTCCATAAACCACTATAATCACGGTTCAAAATTTCACTAGAAACTTTTTGAAATTCAAAGGTTTTTGTTTGAATTTTTAAGTTTCAATTCAAACATGGACCGATCCATAGATCAACAAGAACTCAATTTAAAATATAAAAATATTCGGACCAAGTCTGAAGCTAGTTTGACTACAGTATTAGCCTTTTCTTATTATTTTAAGCTTAATTTTGGGTTAAGTTTGGAGTACCTTTTTAACAAAATAATATTAATTACTTAAATGTCGGATGTTGATGGTTTTGTGTAAAAATAATATGACGAGTTATGTTGTCGGTTGTAATATCGTATACTTTTACATGTTTTTCATTAGTTTAATTTTTCCGTGAGTCACGCGCATGAATGATTACATCATTTTCTCTCCCTCTAAATGTATCTTTCCAACATCACTTTCTTTCTATTTTCCACGTTTCTTTGGTATATGTGATTCAATTCCTCGTCTCGTGTTCTATAAAGCTCATAAGCTTGTGTTCTCTGATAATTCATTTTAGTCCGAGGTTAGAAAAAATTTAGCTCTAGCAGAGGTTGATTATTCATTTTGAATTTTTTTTATTTATTTTTAAATAATGAGTCTATAAGAAAATAAAAATACTTCAACGCACAATATGATTTTTCATAAAATCGATCTTTATTAGGGCTAAATTTTTTTTTATGTTATGCTTCATATGCAAATGAATAATTCTAAAAAATTTCTGATCGGAGTATTTTAATTTTTATAAATAAAATAAGATTACTGGAGTAGATTGTTAGGTTGTTTATTTCTCTCTAGTTATGATGGTTTATTGTACAAATTTTATATTTCTGAATTCCTTATTTCATAAGTTTTTCGTACATATATTATTTGTAATTTTTGGATGTACGATTTGTGATATATAAATTTTTGAAGTTTGAATGATTTAGGATTTAAATAAAACAGCAATAAGGATATTTTGGTCCACGTATCCACTCTTTTACCCCTCTTGAATAGTTGGAAGGGATTCTTTGGTAAAAAATTAGACAAAAAAAATTTACTGAAAAGACCAATAGTTGAGAGGAGTTTATTATACTTTGCCCTTTTTTTTTTTTTTTTTTTTAACACTTGCTTTTCTAGTGCATGGAAAAGTAATAAGAAATATGCGAAATATCTAATTATAAATCAATAGAGATTACTCATTTTCTCTACTTCTTAATTAATTAATTTGTCACCTCATTCAATAAAAAAATGGGGACTACAATTTATAAACAAATAAAGATTATATATTTTCGCTATTTTGTACTATATAATACTATATATTATCTCATTTTCTCTACTTCTTTAATTAATTAATTTGTCACCTCATTCAATAAAAAAAAAGGTGACTACAATTTATAAACAAATATAGATTATATATTTCGTATGAAGCCCATCAAAAATTTAGGTGATTATTATATCTCAAGAATTAAGACACAAATATATATTCATCAGTATGTCCTCACAGAAAAATCAATCATTGAAAAAAATGTTAAGATACATTATAAATAGATAACGAATCTTTTTATTCTACAAGTCATATTGATTGCTGGTAAATTAATATTGTTTAATTATGAAAGTGAATAATACTGAATATTGTTAAACCAAATTAAAATAATAAAATCAATTGATTCAAATATTTTAAAAAGACTAAGAAAAAAAAAAAAAAAAAAAAAACATGATGTTGATGATAATAATATATCATCATCTAACACGTGTTAATTGAACAATAAGTTTATGAAGAAAATTGCTCTTATTGTTAACTTGCATTCCACGTTTATTTTTACTTTGTTTTCATTCAAAATTTATTTGGTAATTTACAGCGACGAGTTCTTTACATTTACCCACTCAAAATTTTGGCTTATCATTTTTAAGTTTATTAGTTTTATAAATACTCTTTTGATTTTTTCCCATTCAATGAGACCAAAACCCAATTTTTTTTTTTTTTTTTTTTTTGCTTGAAATCCACAATGAATCCCTAAACTTTTTTGGTTGAGATTACTGTTGAACTCCACTTATTTTGGTGAGCATAGTTGATGTGTTAAACATTGTAGATCTTGAGAAATATTTTAATAAAAGTAAATAAATACGTAGTACAGTCATAATATATTAAATATTATTAAATTATATTTAATCTAATCATTTTACTTTTACTTATTATCATATTAAGTGTGAATAACCATTTTAGTTATCATTCTACATAAAGAGGAAGATTTCTAATTTTTCTAGATAGAAGTGTTTTTACATATTGAGTTTGTGAGCAATAAGACACATATATATTTGAACCTAGTCTTTATGTGGTCATGCATATGGAGAAGACGCCGTTGCAAGCTGATTGGGTTGTATCTTGGAGTTGACTAGTTTTGTCAATACCCTCACGAAGAGAGGACTATCAGCTTTAGGTCAATGTATTTATATATGTCTCAATAATCAGTCCAGCATTTTCTTAATTATTTTATTTTATTATCGCTTTACTTCTTAATTTATATTATTGAGCTAATATTAATATTATATTGCTGAATTATTTATCTTGTTAAATTCATATTCATTGTTATATCCATATTGTTCAAATGATGTATTATTCAGTTTAATAAAGAATTATTCTTTAATTATTCATTGGTGTTATTGTTTATTAGTTTGAATCATTGTGTATGAATGTTGTATTTATATTTTTTCTACAAATATGTGGACTTTTCCACAACACTCTAGACAAGTTTATTGAAGAAATTTGTGTATTCATTATTTTAAGAGAGTGAAAGTTGAAATCGAACTACAGTCCCATTATTTTTGTTCATGTACATTTTTGGTGATGTTTGATAAAATTGAAAATTAAGTATAGACAATTTTAAGAGTTGAATTTATCTTAAAAAAAAAAAAATTAAAGTTGAATTTTAAGTTCTAAAGTTTTTAAGTGGAAATTGATAAGTGATGTCATGTTATATACCATTTTAAGTGGCTCTTACTGTTTTTAGTGATATTTAAATTGTGTTATCAAACACAATTTTTTATTTGAACAGAGAAAATAAGAAGTCAAAAAAACATAAAAAGAAAAAAGAGTGGATGTAATGGCACCATAGAGACCAACCGAGCCTATTTTGAGGAGAAACTCCTACATGATTTGACCAATCAAGTAGTAGTTATGCAATTAAAAAATTTGAGTGAAATTATATTTGTTTGTATGTTGAGTCGTGATTTATTAAAAAAAAAAAAAATTAGACACATTTATCTATATATAGAGTTGTAATTGGTCGGGACGAGAAAGACTTCTCTACACCGATGATACAATCAATTATATCTTACTATATAAGTAAAAGGAATTTACTTTGGTGGATCTTATCACTATGCATTAATATTCAATCCCACGTCATTAATATGTAATTGATTACGTCCAATCTCTCATTCGGTGGTTGTATTCGTGTACAGTGCATCGGACACATCTTATACAACACGTGCGGACAACTACCATGTTCATGGGTGCAGCAAGCACGTACCATATTTTCTCCCTTGTGATCGGTACGTTGTTAAACAGTGGTTGGCCCGAATTTGCGGACCAAACATAACCTCTTACTGGCAATTAACATGGCAAAGAAATATTTGTTTTATATTACAAAGACAGGGGACCCAATCCTCACAATATGGCCCACAATGTATCAACCCAGCCACAGCACACCGAACAGATTACTTGGCATATCCCCACTGATTCTCTCTCCCTAACCATTCATTCATTCATTCAAAGTTCAAACCCAGTCACATGGAACCAAAACCCCCGTCAATTTCTCGCCTCTCTCCTGAACTACCACTGCTCTGCGCCCAATCTCATCACCAACTGTAGTAGAATCAGCATTGTTCAGTTGAGTTAAGTGGGTCTATTAAAGATCGCCAATGTCTGCAGTGGCGGCTCTTACACATGGGCCTTCTTTGCGACCAAGTTTGCCGACTACCCTTTTCTTTAATCGACCAAATTTGAAGCATTCAAGCTGTTTCAGTGCTCGTCGCAGAGTATTGTTCTCGGAGGAAGCGAAGCTTGTAAATGTAACCCGTTTCTTCAAATCCTCGAGTTCCCGGTAACGGATTGTTTATATAGCTTCAATATAATTCAAGCTCGTGTGTGTGTGTGTGTGTGTGTGTATATATATACAAATGTGCATATATAAATATATACCTGTTTATTGCTATTGGTATGTTTTTGACTGATTGTGTTTGTCTCTCTCTTTCGTTCTAAATTTGTGTTTATGCAATCACAGAGTCTTTTTTTTTTTTTTTTTTTTTTTTTTTGTGCTATAATTTTAAGTGGGTTTATTGTCAGTCATTTCGTTGCGAAGAAGCATAATAAGTTGTGAAGCATCAAATATAGATAATAAATTCTTATATGCAAGAGGCTAATGAAGAAGATGATGTAATTAGTTGTTTAATTTGAAGATACCATGGATGGAGCTGTGATTTAGGAGTTGTGCAGTGGGAGGTTTTTAATTTTTTGTTTCCTGAGGTGGGCTACTGTTTTCTTATTAATTTAGGGACTTGACATGAGCTTAGAAATAATATGCTGATGTATTTTGTTGTATATCTCTGAGGAGTTGAAAGGAAAAAGGTATAATTGACAGACTTAACATCTCTATTCTTCATGTAAAATATAACACAAATTCAGAGAATATAAGTCCTGCAATCAAATGATGAATGGTCGCTCGTATTCAGTGATGAAACACAGACAAGGAATTGTTGCCCCGGATGATGTAAATAACTCTGCACTTTCATATCCAGAAAGATGTTTTTGCACAAGAAATTAAACAATTGAATTACATTCACCTTCTTACATTACTCATTGGCCGAGTAAAGCTTCTTAAAGAACACAATCATCTCTTCCATCTTCTAATCACAAAAGAGATCCTCTGGATTTATTTACACAATCCTCCATCCTGGCATCTCTACCTGAAGCTAATATTAAACAGCTAGGAAGTTTCTCCATCTGGACTCTTAGGTCTCCTCAAACCCCTACAGTTTAACATGATAGGAGCATAGTCTTAGATGGGTCAGTAATACTGAATGTTCTTCATATCAAAGTAGTGCTTCCCCCATGGTGTCATGAGAAATCTTCACCTAAGCTGGTCATGATTTAGCACTCGTGATTCTTGTCATTGGGCCACATATGACACCCCCCAGCTAATAATGGAAAATCTAGAAGCTCATTCCTATCAATAAAATGAACTTCTCATACATACATAAATTTTGATACGGCTTTTGTTTTCAGAAAGGATCCTATCATATTAATCACCTCCAATACAACGCCAAATGCAGATCTTGTAAAGTTCTAATCAGGACTGAAGTAGAACACCTAACAGCCTAATCCACCTTATTCACCACTACTAAATCTTCATTCTTCCTGAGAATTCAGTTTGAAACCTCAGTTGATTCATTTCTAATTTCCTCTCATCATCCTAAACCAATTGAACCACTGGCCTATCATTCATGTCTTTATTACTTCGGTTGGAATTTTTTTTTTTGTTAAGTAAAGATTTATAAAGAGCTTGCAAAAGGGGAATACATCCCTCAAAAGATACAAAAGGCCAAATAGGACCTCTAAACCCTCAAAGAACCCAAAAGATCTACAAACTCCTCTATGGATTTTCAAATTTTTCCTAAAACCCAACAAAATAGCGTACTAATAATTGAGAACTTCAACATTCCAATAGGATTCTCCTTCCTTTCAAAGGATCTCCTATTTCTCTCGAGCCAAATACACCACCAAATGCATAAAGGCGTAACCCTCCAGAGTTCACGGCTTGAGCCCCCAATGTACAACCTCTCGAGCCAAATATTACTTCAGTTGGAATTAAAAGTTTCCATAGGATTTGAAACTAATGTTTTCTCTATATTGATTACTGAAGACCACATCTGCCACACCATTATCAAAATATGAGATAGCTGTCTTTGACAAAGAAAATTCTACTTTTTTCACCATTTCTCTCCTTCAAGGTTCCCAAATTTGTCCAGCGAGGAACTAAGATCCAACACATGCCTTTGCCCCCCAACTATTTGATGAACTAACCCATCCTCATTAACGATTTCCTGACTTCTCTAAAGTCTAAACAAAGGTTTGCTGTTATATAAAGGATCTGAAATCATTCACCTCATGCATCACACATCTTTAGCTTATCATCTACCAAAATGTTGTTGGTCTTACATCTTACAACTTGTTTTCTTAGGGACTATTGATCAGCCGCTTGAGTTTTGGTTCTTCTTATCCACAAGTCCATTAACCTTCAACAGCTGGACAGTTAGACAATTATAGTAGTAATTATTCTTCTAGGCCAAGTGAGCCATGGATTGATGACTGGAAACTGTTCTGTAGTTTTATAGGTTGTGTAGTGATTTCTCAGAATCTTCAAATGATAATTTTTATCCACACATATAGAAGCTATATTATTTCTGCATGATTATTGTTTAAAAAGTTTTGTTTCACTTGGTCATAATTGATCAACTGATTTTGTTGTGTTTGAGTAATAGTAGAGAATATGGTAAGAAATTTGGGTGATGCCCTGTTGTGATGTTTGACCTTTGATTAGCCCACATAATATAAATGATAATAATTCAGTTCATATTAAGTATAATAAGTACTTCAAGTTGTGCAGATCCATTCTTGGGAAAATCTGAAGATGGTCGTAACTACTAATTGGAAATGAACTGTGTTTCCTAAAGGAGCAGATCTTGAATCATGTCCTGCTGAGATTATTGCTTTTCCTGTTATTGTTAATTTTCTAGTCCCTATTTACAGTGCTATCTTCTATTCTTCTATTTAATGCTTTAACAATGGATTTATTTGAAAATTAGTCAATATATTAATAATGGATTTCATTTGAAAATTAGTCAATATTTTTACCTTTGTTACGGATTTATTATTGTCAATAGCATTTCTACATCACTTTTAGTGGTGATTGCTCATCTCAAAGGAACATAGTTTCTGATGCATGCTCAAATTTTCATTTAACTCACGTTCGTGTTTCTCATTTGATGTTTTTAGTTCATGCATGTTGATCAATCAATGGGCAATCCTTTGATGTTTACTGCATATTACTTTTGCATAAATATATAATATATTAATTTGGTTGAGATAGGATCAGAAGCTCTCAGCATGAGGATGCAGAATCTTATGAGGCTGCAGGATCTGGAGTTGCTCGAGAGGGACAAGATCAGGTTGTTGGCGAGGTATTAAAAAATCATGAAAGTAAAACTGCTGGTAAAGAAGGTTCATTCCTGGCAAAGTTAGCAATTGCCCTGGGCATAGCTGCAACAGTGACACTAGTATCTGTCAGCCTGAAGCAGCCTGCTCATGGATCATCACTTGGAATTCAGCTTCTGGCTGATGGTTCATCCTCTTCCACTTTAGCTGCATCCTCTTCGGGCTTCACTTTTAAAGCTTTTGGATACAAAGTTGTACTTCCCGCTTATGCCCCAGGGTATATATCTGGTTCTACTCCACACTTGATAGAAATCAGTATTTTGCTTCTGAGTATGCCTATATGCCAAATTGTTTCCATCAATTCATCAAAAAATTACTCTACTTTATATTCGTTAATTCTTTCAAGTATTTTTCCACTTGATTGTCATCTTCTGTTAACGTTATTACAATGATTACACTAGAAATTGTGATTGGGATGGGTTTATTAAATGCATAAAGAATTGAACAATACCCTATCTGTTGGTGCTATGGTTTTATTTCAATGTGTAAGAGATTGGCAAGACTATCTTGCCTCTTAAAGCCTATTCTTTTATGCCATTCCATTTTTTTGATACTTTGCCTAGTTGACTTGTTGCAGATGGATCTACTTTTGGTTACTCATGGCTGCTGGCTGTGGGCTTTTCATTAGTGAAGAGGCTTTAAATATTTGGGTCTGTCCTTTGTACTGGTATTTTTGTTTCACAGACTCGAGCGTTTACCCTTCATTTACCTTACGCCTCTGTAGTTTATTAGACCTTCTGTCTTATACTCTTATATCAAGCGTTTTATGATTCACTTGTTTATTTGAACTTGTAATCCATATTCTAGCTAATTAACTGCAGGTTGGAATCTCCTTAGCACGGTTGTTATCTTTGGATGGGACATGGAAGTCATTTGTTGCATCATTCTCCAGTAATGGTCCGTACATAATATCTACAGTTCTGTGGGTATACTGGTTAGTACAATTCCGTTTCTCTCATTAGTTCTCTATGAGCTATTGTTGCAATTTCAGTTGTCTATATATTATTATATATAGGAGCTCTCTGGCTGTAGCAACATGCTTGAAGCTGTAACACTCTTTTCGGTGGTGCTTCATAATTTTATGTAAAAGTTAGTATTCATTTCCCCTATCATGTGATACTTCCATAACTCTTCAGGGGAGTTTGTATAAGTGATATGGTACCATTTTACCTTGGGAAGCTCTTTAGGCAGTCTGGAGCATCCGATGATGTTTGTTCAAAGGTTTGTTCTACTTACTCATTCTTGACACATGCACACTAATAATCCAGCTAATTTATTTGCACTCAACCTAAGCTTTACAATGTTGAGAATGTTAGACTATCAATTGATTCAATATTTTGAACTGTTGAAGAATGGACCCAACAATGTATATCAAATTCTCTGGCATTTTGCCTCACGATATTTTCTCATATGCAGAGAGGCAAGCAGACAGAACTTAGACACCAATAGAATGGTGAAACAAACTTGAACCCAAGACCTTCCATAACCATGGCTATTATATTATCTTAGACAACCAGTATCTCTAAAGCTTAATGTTCTGTTGCATAAGCATGTTCTGAATCCCACACCAGGTTATTCATTATTGGGCGGTCATGGAGTACTTCTTAAGTAGGTGCAAGGAACCTCAAAAGTGAGTAATCTTTTTGAGTGCCAAAACAATCCGGTGGCAGTGGTATCACGGGCGGAGCCACAAAAATTTTGAAACTTTTTATAGTAGTATGGCCCATCAGTCTTAAATTTGCGTAAGCCCAAACTTGGCTCCCCCAAATATATTAACCCAACCCACTTACATTAAACATTTAGTTAGTTAATATTAGCTGAATCCATTAGAAATAAAATATCAGCCCTTTTGTAATATAATATTAGCACAACCCAATTACATGAAAGTAACATTTAGTTCTTTATTTTAAGCCCAACCCAATCACAACCTCTTGTAATATATATAGTTGCCCAGTATGATACCATATATATATATATAAATATATGTAATATTACCTAAAGCTACATAACAAAGCATAGACTTGGAAAGCACCAAATGGAAAACACGAATGCAAAGATGCAAAAGCTTGTATAGTTGTATCAGCTGTATGAATTATTGCAATGAGAGTTCATTGGTGGGGAAAAGATAAAGATTAAATATGTAAGTTCATTCTCTCTCTTAATCCTCTTTCACCTGTTTCTCATTTTCTTTATTAAAAAATTTCACTAGTTTTTCATTCTTCAAAGCCCTAATACTATTTTTCTTTTTATGATTTTCCAATACTCTTGTCTATATTGAATACACCTATACATAATGACATTTAATACTATATATACAGTATAATACATTTATCCATGTACATTTATACAATATGTATATATTATATACCTTTGTACATTTAATAAATATTTTTTTTTGTGTGTATTTGTGTGCAGTAGGGCTGTAAACGAGCCGAGCCGAGCCGAGCCATAGGCTGTTCGAGCTCGGCTCAACCTTTTTACAAGGTTGTTTGAGCTCGGCTCGGGCTCGAGCCGAGCTTCCATATTACTGTTCGAGCGTGGCTCAACTTTAGAGGAGCAAGCTTGAGCTCGGCTCGCTTAGCTCGTTTATTTTAACGAGCCAAGCTCAAGCTTGTGCTTGTTTTCAAGCTCGAGCTCGATAAGGAGCTCGTTATAAAGCTTGCTATCTATGAGTTAAAGCTGCTCTCTGAATAGAATCATAGATAGAGAAGAACTATACGATATTGTGAAGCATAATCAAACATGGAACTAAGAAATTTTCATTGACAAGTTTTAACAGTGTATAATTACAAAATTTCTTTCACAATAATAAGAAAAACTATCCAAAAAGAAAAATTGCTGCAACTTCAATCTTCTCAAACACCCTTCTGTAATTAGTTAATCCAATCCTTCACCAACAGTCAACAGAGGTGCAGACCTTGCAAATGAACATATTTTTAAAAACAATAAGTTGAAATAGTACTGGTTTAAAACACCCTTCTGTAATACGTTGATATGAGTAAAATTTTAGAAAGAACTAAACCCTAAAAGTAGAGTAAACAATGATAGATAAGAGAGGAAGAGATATAAATCGTAGAATGAGAGATTTAGAGGGAGAAAGGAGAGAGAAATTCACCAGAAGGTCACCCGACTTGTTGCCTGTGGATTCAAGAGACCACAAGCCTTTGAGAATTTGAGAGGAGTGAGAGAGGGAGAGAAAATTAAAGGCAAATTCAGAAGAAGAGAAGTCACTTTGAAATCTGTAGTGTACTTGAGTACACCTTGAAAAGTAGCAAAATGGAAGTCTCTAGAGCCGTATTATTGATCTGTATTATTGAATGTCTGAGGACTGAGGAGTGTGCTTGGGAAGCCAACTCTATATGTAATATATATTATATGTAATACAAGAAATATATATCAGCTCTAACGCTGGATTATTCAGAGACAAAATAATCCAGCTCTAACGAGCTTTGATTACGAGCCTGTTCACGAGCTTAGTTCGCGAACAAACAAGCCGAGCTCATAGCTGTTTGAGATTGGTTTGATTACGAAACAAGCTTAGAAAAACCGTGAGTTTGGTTCGTTTACTAAACAAACGAACACAAGCCGAGCTCGAGCTGTTTGTCGAAAGTTTGGTTCATTTACAGCCCTAGTGTGCAGTGGTTTCAAACTATCGTGCACTCGATTGATGTAACTTTTTCCATCTAATTTTGTAACCAAGTATGCCAAACTTTGGCTAGATATATTTTTGTATACATGTAATAGAGAATGGAATGCTTTTGGTTTTTAAAAAGTCTTGTATTAAATCTTCTCGATAAAATTTATAATAGTTTGCTCCCCCCAAACCATATATCCTGGCTCCACCCCTGGTATCAGAGTCAGTCCATGTGGCTCGAGGGAACTATTATGTGATTCCGTGGAGGCATGGATACCCTTTGCAAGGAGCCAGGAGAAATTATTAGATCGTCCTGGACCATGTGGTCCAATCCAATTAAAACTCTCCAATAAAGAAAAGTGGACCCAAAAGTTTAATAAGATATTATAAAGAAACTTGAACATGGTTTTGATTGGACTAGACCCCCAAGTGGCATATGGTTCAGGACTATCTAATAATTTCTCCTTTGCGAGGGAACTCGAGTCTAGGCTGCGAAGCCTGCCACAGTCTTTTTTTTGAGTCCCAAATCCTGTGTATTGGGAGGTCATAGGGTTCTTAAGTGGGTGCCAGGAGGGTTACAACTGACTAGTCCTTTTGGGTGTGGAACTGGTCTTTTGATATTAAGCTGTTATGAAATGGGCCCAACAACTTATATCAAGCTCTCTAATGGAGAATATATTATTTATGCTTTTATTAAAAGGATATTATGTGTTAATGTATGTATTAATAAGTTTTGAACTATATATAATCCTACTATTGACTGTAGTTAGGGATTGGTAAAGAGAAAGCACTGAGCATTACACGGATTGTGCAAAGATATGGAAATCTCGCAGGTTTCGGTGAGTTTCATGGCCATATTAACTTTTTTGTGCATGTTTTTCATTTCTAAATTCTATATGTGCATGCATAGAACATAGTGTCAGTCAACATATTGTAATGTCTAGCAGTATGTCAATTCCTCCACCAGATTCCTCATCATTTTCTCATAATGTATGGGAGATCAATCTACGGTTTATCAATTATTCAGATGGATGTTTAGCAATTAGATAGGTGACGAAGTTTTGTGGCTGTTGCTTTGTGAAATTTACCCAAAATAATTGGACATTCACATGTAATTGGCTCTTCTTTTTCCATATTAGTTTGCTAAAGATTATTCTAGACCATTTAATATGAAGTTTGAACCCTTTCCTAGATCATCTTCAAAGAATTTCACCATCTAACGGAAGCCATTGACGAAAGCAAACTATGGGACATGGTGTTCTGGAATTAGCTGAATTTTGATAGGTCTCAGTGCTTGGAATGGTGTCAAGACGGCAAAAAATGTCATTGTGCATGTACAAAAGCCTAATTGTTAGTCCCATCATTGAATAAATATACACGATATTTTTTATGTACCGTGGATACATCAGTATTTTCAAGACATTGATATATCCTTGTCTGACAATACAAAAATATCATCATGAAACAACATAATTTCCGATGATTTTTCTTCCATTGCAATTTGCAAAAAAAATTATTGCAATTATGTTTGAGGCTTGAGCAGATGAACCCATCTGTTCTAGTGTTTGTGAAGACACCGTTCAAACTTAGGCGGAGACTTGAACCCATTTGTTTGGTACAACCCCTGTTCCCCAGTAGACTTACCAAATACCAACAGCTAGCTGCCTTTTTCTTCTTTCCCTTTTTACCCCGCTTATTTTTACTCTTTTAGTTAACTCTGCCAAACAAGTTTATTACCTAGATGAGATGCAACTTGGACAAAATGCTCAAGAGAAGATATATTTCTATAGATTCTTTTGTATTATCCATCTATTTCATAACTTGTGTAGCTCCTTTCAATAATTGAGGCATGTATTTATAACAATATATATATATTTCGACATCTTTACAGCTTATTCTGCATTCTTTGAACATGAGTATCCTGTATATGTCTTTCCTGAATCCTCATTATTGTTTATTGATGGTTTTGTATGTGATGACCTGCAGTTGAACGATTTTCCTTCGGAGTGAGAAATCCAACAGCTTTCCTAGCGGGGGTGATGGTTAGTGTTCATCTGTGCTCTACATGTGTTACTTTTCAATCACTTGGCGGTGATTTCAATCACTAATTATCCCTGTAGCTCTAATAGTTGTTCTTACATTCGTTTGCTACTATGTTAACAATGCCATTTGTCTGATATATCTGATCTTGGTCATGTTTGCACCCTATATTTCAGCCAATGACTAGTTGACACATGGCGAGTTTTACATAAGACATGCCATATATCAATTTTGTTTACACCATAATTATTTGCCATTTTCCAATGGAAGGATTGCCTTGGTCGATTCCAATGGAAGGTACTACGACGTTCCAGTGGAAACCACTATCTTCTAAAGACTTTGGCTAAAAACCAATCCAAGGTGGACACGTGGCTTAATAAAAGGGCCACAACTCTAACTATTTGCACCATAATCATCGGTCACTTTCCAATGGAAAGTTGTTATGGCCGATTCCAATGGAAGGGTGATATGCAAACGTGGGTGTAATCATAAAGCAACACTTGGATTCATCTGAGAAAGCCATTTGGTGAAGTAAACACCTTGGGACACGTGGCAGCCAAGGAAGGAAGCGGTTACATGCAAGTGGAAAGTCATGGGACACGTGGCAGCCAAGGAAGGAAGCGGTTACATGCAAGTGAAAAGTCATGGGACACGTGGCAGCCAAGGAAGGAAGCGGTTACATGCGAGTGGAAAGTCACGGGACACGTGGCAGCCAAGGAAGCGAGCGGTTACATGCAAGTGGAAAGTCATGGGACATGCTAACTACCGTTACTAAATTCTATAAATAGGGCATACTATTGTTACTTAGAAGGCCTGTTCAAACACACGACACAATTACAGCAGCATGTCAATACAATCTTTCTTTTCATTGCAATGCACTTTCAACATGTTTAGCTTAAGTTCCGCACTTTATTGCTTTACATTCCAGTATTTTACATTCAAGCCAATTACTTTCATAAGTAGTTCAATCCTCTTTAGCCAAGTAGCAGTCCCCAAGTCCTTTTTCAAAGGCAAAAAGAACCCAGAGGTGTTCATTCCAGACCTTTTCACAATCGCTTGGTCTAGTAATCTTCCATCTGGAATATTGTTTGGATCTTTCTTTGGAACTACATCAGTTCCTGGCACGCCCATCCGGTTCCATCGGAACCAACCATTTTTACAGGCCAAACATATTGGCACGCCCGGTGGGACAACTAGTAAAAGATCTTTCTTATGGCATAGCTAAGCCTTGAACATGAAGAATACTACCAAAAGATGGCCAAAGAACGTGAAGAGTACTATCGAATGAGGGCCAAAGAACGTGACGAGTACTACCTAGAGATGGCCAAAGAACATGAAGAGTGCTACCAAAGGTACCGAAGGATGGAAGAAAAATGTGAGCAATATTCTCGAGAATTCAAGGAAAATCTCCGAGAAAGAAAAAGGTGTCAACAACGCCACGAGCTCGGCAACAACCACCACCTGTGATGTCGACTCCACCAGCAGTGAAGTCGATTCCACCACCAATTCAAGTTCTACTTCAAGTGGAACCTTAAGTGCAGAACCTTCCACCAGCAGTAGCTCAACCACTTTCATCGTAGGTGCAGACTCCATCTGAGGTGCAGAACCCTCCACCAGCAGCAGTCCAGCAACTTTTCAATTTCAGGTCCAACAGAATGTTTCACTTTCAAACATTCAACAACCTACAAACACACCACCAAGGCCACTTATGGCCTTCGCAATGGCATTCGAAACGCAACGCCCTCCATCGAAACCTCCTGACCAAGGAGATAACCAAATTAGACAGAGGAGTATTTCTCTGGCAGACCCAAACCCAATTCCAGTGGTGTTTGGGGGGCATCCAATGGACAACCTACCTAAAGGTTGCCCAGAAAATATAATTTCAGTACCCCAACCTATGGTACTTGATCATAGCCAATTCGCTGAGCCAGCAAGACTGTGGCTTGGCCATGAGGAAGGCCGACAAACATTTTCATAAGAAGCCGTTACCATTTCTTCCATTGCAAGAAGATTTTCCACAGTCAGATTTTCTTTTGGAAACGGCAAAATTTTCTTAATTGTTGTATATTCTTCCATCTGAAGACTTCCATCCGAAGAATATAAATGTCATAGTATTTTTCTTCCAATTTTGGGAAAAAAATGCTAGTACTTTATTTGTCCCAAATTCACATCTTGTGATCTTTTAGGGGCAAAACTTGGCCAATCAACTATGTATTTGGCCAGAAGATGTACAAATTCGTCCTCCTCGTAAACCTCCAAACCTTGGGGGGGCAACAAAATTGGACGTGAGGCTTCAAATCCTTAAGCTTATAACTTTCGTCCTAGTTAATAAGCTGATTAAAGTTTTCGGCCCAATGGTACATTCCAGCTGAAAAGTTTTAGTTGTTCAATTCCTTACCAACAAGAATATCACATGGCAAATTCTCACTCATAGCTAAAATTTGATATGCCTTACAATTCTTCAAAGAATATCAGGCACATCAAATTTGGGGCAATGTTTACACCCTATATTTCAGCCAATGACTAATTAACACATTGCGAGTTTTACATAAGACTTGCCATATATCAATTCCGTTTACACCATAATTTTCAGACACTTTCCAGTGGAAGGATTGCCCTGGTCGACTCCAATGGAACGACGTTCTAGTGGAAATCACTGTCTTCTAAAGACTTTGGCTAAAAACCAATCAAAGGTGGACACGTGGCTTAATAAAAAGGCCACAACTCTAACTATTTGCACCATAATCATCGGTCACTTTCCAATGGAAAGTTGTTATGGCCGATTCCAATGGAAGGGTGATATGCAAACGTGGGTGCAATCATAAAGCAACACGTGGATTCATCTAAGAAATCCATTTGGTGAAGTAACCACCTTGGGACACGTGGCAGCCAAGGAAGCAAGCGGTTACATGCAAGTGGAAAGTCATGGGATACATGGCAGCCAAGGAATCGAGCGGTTACATGCAAGTGGAAAGTCACGGGACCTGGAAGCCAAGGAAGCGAGCGGTTAAATGCAAGTGGAAAGTCATGGGACATGTGGCAGCCAAGAAAGCGAGCGGTTACATGCAAGTGGAAAGTCATGGGACATGTTAACTACCATTACTAAATTCTATAAATAGGGCATGCTATTGTTACTTAGATGGACTGTTCAAACACACAACACAATTACAGCAGCATTTCAATACAATCTTTCTTTTCATTGCAATGCATTTTCAACATGTTTAGCTTAAGTTCCGCACTTTATTGCTTTACATTCCAGTATTTTACATTCATGCCAATTACTTTCATAAGTAGTTCAATCCTCTTTAGCCAAGTAACAATCCCCAAGTCCATTTTGAAAGGCTAAAAGAACCCAGAGGTGTTCATTCTAGACCTCTTCACAATCACCTAGTCTAGCAATCTTCCATCTGGAATATTGTTTGGATCTTTCTTTGAAACTACAGCAGTTCCTGGCACGCCCATCCGGTTTCATCGGAACCGATCATTTTTACAAGCCAATTTGTCTATCATTATGACTACTTTTGACCAAACTGATTTCTATTGATGAATGAGTGAATAATATCGAATATGGATTTATATATATACAGTTTAGGGTAAAGTATAGCGACACCCCTTGAGGTTTGCCAAAAGGACACACAGATGAAACTTAGTTTATTTTGGGACAAAAACACCCCCTTAAGTTTGATACAGTTACCTAAGACAGCCCAATGGTAATGAATTGACATTTTTGCCTTTTGATTTTTATATTGACCTATTTGAATGTTGAAATTACCTTTCTAACCTCTATATTTTTAGATATATATATATATATATATATATATATATATTATATTTATCTCTCAATAATCTGTATATACACATATATATAATCAAAGAAGAGGACGGCGCATCCTTTACCTCGGTGTCTTCTTGACCTCACAACGGAGGAGGAGGACGGTTGTAATGGACACGCCAAAGTTGCACGTCGATAAGAACCCGTCGACGGTTGTGGCCTGTTCCTCGCTAGCGCGTGATTCTTATACAGAGCTTCGACGAGTCCATGGCAAAGAGCTCCACCGACAGTCGTGGCCCACTCCTCGCCAACGCATGATCTTCTACAGAGCTCCAGCTATTCCATGGCAGAGAGATCTACCGATGGTCTCGCTGGGCAGTATTTCACCGGTTCAGTCCATGCTCTCCATTATGCAGAAAAGGTTCTGGTGAAGGGAGCCGACGAGGTGCGGCCACGGGTTTTTATCACAGTCGTCGTTTCTCCCCCGCGGCCAGTATGGGTTGGTTGGAAAGATGGGTTTGATGATGTCGATGGGCGGCAGAGGTGGCGACAATTTTCAAATCTTCAGACGTGCATCCACGCGCCGGCACGCTGCAAACCGCGTGAACTTCACGCGCCGGCACGCTGCAAACCGCGTGAACTTCACGCGCCCACAATCGTCTTCTTCCTTCAGATAGTGTGCCCCTCACGTGCCCAATGCGTTTGCACTGTTATCGGTTATCGGTGAGCCACAATACCCACTGCAGTCGCCGCCAACCACCGCCACACAATACCCACTGTAACCACCGCCACACAATACCCACTGTAACCACCGCCACACCCTCACACCTATACATATATACACCACCACCACCGTAATCACTGGACCACCACCACTCGCTTTCAATACCATCTCCCCTAAAAATTAACACCCAAAAGCCATACCCAGTTTTCTTTCTCTGTTGGTCTCTGCAAGGAAGAAATTTATGTTGGTCTCTGTCGGTGTGTGTGTTTGGGTGTTGTTTGGGGGGGTATATATATAAAGAGAGAAAGAGAGACAGGGTAATTTAGAGAGAGAGGTAAGGGTAATATGTAGATCGCTGCCGGAATCGATGGGGTGGGGATGGTGGTGGTTGTGGGGGCGGGTATGTGTTGGTGGTTGTGGATTTTGGTGTGGTAGCAGTGCCAGAATCTGGTTGTAGGGTTGTAGGATTGATTGGGTGCTGAAGGTAATTTGGTCGTTTAAGTATTTTAATATTTTATAATTAAAATTAATAAATTAGTGAAGTGTAAAATGCACTTTTCACATGTTTTAAGGCTATGTTTAAATGACAAATTTCACAAGGGGGTGTGGTTGTCCACAGATAGCCAAACTTTCATCTGCATGGCCTTACCCCAAACCTTAGGGGGTGTCTTTGTACTTTACCCTACAGTTTAATACATCGAAGCCATTACTTGATGTAATGGTAAAAGCTTGGATTGACAACGTGAGACATTAATAAATAGTGATTCGAGTATGAGGGCAGCTATTTTCTGCAAAATATATTCAAAGGTTGGGTTTTCTCTAGTCTTCCCCTCCAAGCGCTCCATGTAGCTGGGATGCACTGGTAATGGCCTTTTGAGACTACAAAAGAGCTGTGGTAGACCTATACTTGTGTCAACCTCGTCTGAAATATAGATCCCACCTCCCATTTCCAGGGAGATGGTAAACCGTTATCCAATTAGTATGTTAAACATATATATATATATATATATATATTTGGATTATGCATATTGGTTATAAATTATATATATTGATTTTGGCATTTCAAAATCACAGCAGAGCAATTAGGAATATATATATATAGCAGAGCATGCATTAATGTTAGCATCTGCTTGATCCACTTAACTATCTGGTTATATTCTAATTGGGTAGGCACATCCATGAAAGATTATGACAGAGATAAAGCATATCGTGTATTAGTTTGTGTCACTTTTCATATTGTGTTTGCATACACCAATTGAACATTCTTTAGAAATCTGGAATCTGAAAAGGACATGCAAAATTTTTGTATCGTCAAGTGACCTTAACAATTTGCTTTCATCAACGATGGATTTGTGTAATACTAGACCTTTTTCCCTGAGTAATTCTCTGGCACGGCTGTTGAAACCTAACTTTATATCTTGAATAATTATTGGATTGATCATCTCAGCGAATACTTTTATCTGAATGCAGGACATTTCTCCAGATTGTTTCTTTGCCGGTGTCTGTTGTGGTGGCTTACTAACCCTTCCACTCCAGGTTATTTGAGTTCTGCTAGAATAGACTAACACATTTACACACGAAACACATCACCATCACAATGTTTAGTAAGAATTTAAAATTTTGTTTCACATGCATTGAACACAAATCCTTGCAAAATTTAGGATGTCGCCAGATTAAAAATACGAGTAATTGAATATGTAGTCTGATGAATCAAATGGTATTACTGTTTCCAATCATTTCTACAAAGTTCTCCTTTGCTCATTTCTAAACGTGATAGAAATGCTCATCGACCAACTTGCTAGCTGATGTGTTTTTCTTTTCTTTTCTTTCCAAGCTCAGTTGGGGATTGGGTTTTTGTTGAGAGAACGCCCTGTATTCGCATTGGCTACTGTTGCAACAGTAGTGGTACGTAGCTACTCCTTTGCAGCAAGTTCTAACCTTTTACCTAAAGGACTCTAATTTGTATAGTCATGCAGGGAGTTTGGACTGTCTTCCCATATGCAGTGGCTGCTTCAACAGCATTATTCCTATATCTGAGACGCCGCTACTCTAGCTAGTCCTGGCTAGATTTTCTGTACGACACACACAAGTCCTTGAGAATGGAGAAGTTAGAAGCTATCGAAATTCGTACATACAGAGGATTACGAAAATACAGTTAGAAGCTATCGAATTACGGCCTTCTTTTGGGGTTTTACATATGGGAAGCCCTTATAGGAACCTACTTAGAATATACACCAGCGTATAGATAATTCAATACTGCCCTTTTAGTGAGGCAAGTTGCACCTTATCCGTTGCAAATTAAATCTTGTTATTCTTTGTAATAGAGACTCGACTCGAACCCCCTACCCCTCTACGTTTTCACTTTGGAAGGAGAAAAGATACCACTAGGTCATGGGACCTTGGTGAATAGCTATACGTGGTTGCGTAGTTCGGTTTCTCTTTATACTAAGGTATGCGTATACCATAGATACATTTCCAACATTGCCTCCAACAAGGCTTGAACACTCAACCTTCCTGAGAATATACCTGGTTAATGTTCCTAGGTTAATTTTATATGACTAGTTCAACCGTTCTTTATACATTTAATGTCTTGCCTTTCCTCTTTGGTACATTTGTGATGTAATAAATAATGAAAAAAAGTAGATATTTGGAAATTGAAAACAATGTGAGATTCATTTATGCTGTTCTTGACTATAAGATATGTGTTGCATAAAAACACTTTATGGCTGGGTCAACGTGGGCATTAATGATTCGTACAATTTCTCATAAATACCCTTTTAATGTGTGGCATTGAATTCCATCAACTTTGGTTGCTCACATACCTACTATATCAGTTTTCTATCTAAAGCTCGACGGTATTCAATATGGCAAAAAATTGTTCCAAGAAAGTGACTATGAGTGGTTGTTGGTTGAATGTAAATGTAGTGTCCCAACCTACCATTTTATTTGAATTGAAAAAAACAAAAAATGTTGTAGAGGTAGTCAATGGATGCTTTTGTTATTGGAAGTAGCTTTTTTAGATGACTGTTTTGGACACTTTCTTTACATTGGAATATATTTTTTTAATAATGGTGTGAACCACACAACAATATCTATTTCATTCAACTGTGGACAAACGTGTGAAGGATCGTTATTTCGAAAATAATTATCAGGTACTCATAATTTTTTAAGAACTATAAAATACAATTTTAAAGAAAACTGAACTAAACAAATTTTTTTTAAAAAAATTACTATGATTCGTATTGATTGAAATTTCTTAAAAAAAGTTATTTTTTCGTTTTTTTTAGTGCAAGAATATTAGATTAAAAGTTAGAGGTGCGAAGGTTCAAAGTTGGGCTCCCAAAGACAACATAGAGTAATGAGAATATATTTTTTAAATATAAATTCATAAAGAAACTACTAATTCTTAGAACAAAAAGGCTAGAAAAGTTTTAAAAGAAGATGGTAATTTAGAATTCTAGACCTATCAAATTCACCACATTTATGTTGTTGGGAAGTCAAAATGATATTAATTAGAAGGAAGTATAAAATAAATAATAAAAAAATGAAAATAAGATAGAGTCAAGATTGGAAATAAATATATGGTTGAATAAAAAAGGGTGTTTGTGCACTATTTCATTACTTTGAAAGTAGAAAAGGTGAAATGAGAAAGTTTGGCCGTACCCATTCCAAGACCAGAAGAAAATCAGCAGATGAAGGTTGCGGGGTCCATGAATACGCAGTCATGCTTTGAATCAAAACTCTCTTGACTCGATGATCACTTTCATGAACTAGCAATCTCCACTTTTGCTAAAGGCATATCTTTTCTTTGTTCTTTCTTTCTTTTCTTTTTTCCTTGTCCTTTTTAATGTTTTTTATAATAAAATATTAAAACACTCTAAGTAGTATTTAGTATGTACACATAAATTCCTAATTTTAAAAAACTTGCAGGAAAATGCACCTTCTGACCATTTTTGACGAAAAAGCTCTTTAAATCCCAAAATACCCTTTAAAACAAAAGACATTTTGCTTTTTCATTTTTTCTTTGTTTTGGTTGTGAGGGTATTTTAGACATTTTAATCAATTGATAGATTGTCCTTATTTGCTCAAGGGAATTTTTTTTTTTGAAGATATTTGAACATTCTGTATATATAATAGGATTTTTTTTTTTTTTTTTGGGTATTTGTAAAGAAAATGATATTTGAACTTTATTGAGTTTGTTTGGGGTTGTTGTTGGAATAAAAAAGTGATTTTATCAGTAAATTTGTCAAAAAATTATAGCCATTAAATAGTGTTTCGTAACCCATAAGTACTTTTCATAATTAAATTATTTTTTAGTTTATTTGGTAACAATATTTATTTAAATATTTTTATTCCTAATTTTATAATAATATCATTTAATAGGATGTTACCATATTTAATAATAATAACTTTATTAAGGAATATGTATAATTATATTTATAAAAAAAATAAAAGGACGAAATTGTCTAATAAAAAGGAATTACCTCAAAAATTCAACCGAAAACTCAATTTTGAAAGTTCTAAATTCAAATTCTCTAATAACTTAAATTTGGTAACCGGCTCTTTTAATTATTATCAAACACATCTAAACGTAATTTTTCAAATAAAAATACTGAGCAGATAAGTAATTTCGATATATACACTTACACTTCACTGTTTCCATTTCTAAAAATAAATAAATAGAATAGAATAGCAATTTTTCGTTCTAAAATCGATATTTGATAGCTGATGTTTCGTGTGCACTTAATTTTCTTTAAATTGTCTAATAAAAAAGACTTACCTCAAAAATTCAACTTCTACCGAAAACTCAATTTTGAAAGTTCTAAATTCAAATTCTCTAATAACTTAAATTTGGTAACCGGCTCTTTTAATTGTTATCAAATACATCTAAACGTAATTTTTCAAATAAAAATACTGAACAGAGAAGTAATTCCGATATATACACTTACACTTCACTGTTTCCATTTCTAAAAATAAATAAATAGAATAGAATAACAATTTTTCGTTCTAAAATCGATATTTGATAGCTGATGTTTCTTGTGCACTTAATTTTCTTTAATTTGGTGCATCTCCAATTCCAACTCCGACACCACAAGTAACATGAAATGATTAGTCTGACATGAAATAATATTATGGGTTGTTTTGTAATCTTTATCAGTCAAGGCGTGTGCCCACCAGGATTTTATCAACTACCCCCTTCCAAGTTTGTAATATTTCAGAAGGATCCCTTATATTTCAAACTTTTTACATCACCACCCTTACGCAAAAAATAAAAAATAAACTTTTTACATCATCACAACTGTTTTCAACATTTCACAACTTCTTCCCTAATTATTATTCAAGGAAATAATTTGAAAATGCAGTTATGGAAGATAATATATATGTGTCCGAGCTTTTACTATGAAATTTTAGATAATACAATTTTGTATCTCTAAATTTCTAGAAATGATACTATGATCCGTAATGACAGAGAAGAAAACAATTTGGGTTCGAAAATTTGGTATCGTTGCACTTTGGAGAAGATATTTTGAAATATTAATTCACGAAAAAACTTGTTCATTCATAGTAAGAAAAAGGCTAGACAAGTACTGTTAAAGGAAGATGTAATTTTAGCTAGACCTACCAAATCCACATTTATGTATTTGGGACCTGGAAACCACATATATATAATTTATTTATTTATTTATTATTATTACTCATATTTTTTTGGTATCAATACATATATATATATGTTGTGGCCACCATGTGAGCGGGTGTGCATGGGCTGATGCTCACATTGGGTGAGGTATATGTGCACAATCTCATATCACCTAGGTGTGAAAAATGCAAGTATTATCGTTAAATTCAACACCCTTTTATGACATAATGCGTTTAAAGCTGTGATAGTAGTGAACCCACCAGAACTCTATTGTTAAGCGTGCTTAATCCGGAATAGTACTAAGATGATGGGTGACTCATAAATAACATTATGTCTGGTTAGGTTGAGAGTTGTTACAAATATTTATTGAGAGTGGATCTATGTGTATGTTTTGTTTTTTTACTATAGGCAATTTTAGCCCAGCAAAAAAAAAAAAATTAGTATTAGATCACCGAAAAAAAATATTAACCCATCCCATTAATAATTTCTGGATCCGTCCTTAGGTGTGTGTGAGCGTGTAGGTGGCATCAAGCTATCATATTGGGAGAGTTACAGGTTCACAATCCCATGTCGCCGGCAAGTGTTATATGTAGATTTAACATCTTTCTATAGCTGCAATTTAAAGTACTAATGGTCATGAATTTACCAGAATTCCATAATTAAGCGTGTTCAACCTGAAATACTATTAGAATGTGACTTCTTGAAAAATTTCTTGAAAAATTTCTGGCGGATAATGTACATGTGAACATTGTGTGTAGAGTCAAGCTCGGAAATATATAGTTGAACAAAAAAGTTGCTTGTGCCGTATTTCAATACTTCGAAAAATAAGAAGTCAAATGACTCAAATGAGAAAGTTGAATGTATTATGTACCCATCAGACTTGGAGAAAAAAATCAGCGTATGAAGATTGGGGGTTAGTCATGTTTTGTATCCAAAATTCAAAACTCTGTTTCCTCAGTCACTTCCATAAACTTTGCTAAAGGTACTTCCATTTTTTTTTCTTTAAATGTTTTTAAATAGTAAGATTTAAGCACCGGTAAGATTTAAGCACGTTTCTTTCATTCTTTCTTTATATTATTATTATTTTTATTACACACACACACATATATATTGCCTTTTCTCTCTTTGTTTTGTTTTTTAACGTTTTTAAATAGTAAGATTTAAGCACGTTTCTTTCATTCTTTCTTTATATTATTATTATTTTTATTATACATACATACATATATATATATATTGCCTTTTCTCTCTTTGTTTTGTTTTTTTAACTTTTTTAAATAGTAAGATTTAAGCATGTTTTTTTCGTTCTTTATTTTTCTTATTTATTTATTTATTATTATTATTTTTTTAACCTTTTTAAATAGTAAGATTTAAGCATGTTTTTTTCATTCTTTCTTTTTCTTATTTATTTATTTATTATTATTATTATATCTTTTCTCCCTTTCTTTTTTCTTTCTAAGTGTTTCTAAATAGAAGTAAAATTTTAGCATGTTTCTTTCATTCTTTCTGCGTGTTTTTTTTTATGTTTTTTTTATACACTTGTGTAATGGTAAGGAAAATGATACTCAAACTTGATTCTTATACTCTCACTTCACTTATTTAAAAAAATTAAAAACTAAAATGATAAATTTTCTTCCTTCACCAAAACAGAGACCGCTGCAAGGTGAAGAGTTTCAATGGCCGGCAAAAACTTGAGTGATGGCACTGAGGGAGTGCTGAACAATCGAGGTAAAGATGATCGGACCGACGAGGTACCAAAGCTCATTTCGCCCATTTAATTCATTAAAGAAATTTGAATTTCTAAAATTAGTGGTATGTCGTCAGAACATATATATCAAGATTAGTAGATTAATTTGGTCTAAATTTGACTATAAATCCTGTAAATTTTGAAGAAGAAAGGTGTAGAATGAGAGATGGTGAGGTTTTTAGAGGGCAAAATTTTAGAGAGGTTTTTAGAATGGTAATAAGGATAATATGGTAAATACAAATTAATGAGAGATTTAAGAAAAATTAACTATAGAAGTAATAAGTGAAATTTGTAACAATGCCTGCCAGCTGCTAAAGGCAGCAACTCTGCAATTATTGTGGCTAGCATCCTTCTATTTCAAATATTGTTCTTGCACTCTTCTTTTAAGGGTAATTGGGTCATTTAATTTGTTAAAAAAAAACAAAATTTGCAATGTATTTTATGGTATGTCACATCGCTACTCATAAAATTCATAAAAAAATAAGAATTTTATGGTTTGTATTTTTGGTGATCCACGCTCATGTTTGTAGTGCACTTAATTTTCTTTAATTAGGTACATGAAATTAATTAGCCAGACAAGAAACATTGCTAATAGGGTTCTTTGATCTGCCCACCAGAATCTTATCATCTACCCCTTCCAAGTTTGTAGTTTTTCATAAGGATCTATCATATTTCAAACATCTTACATCAACACCACTATGCCAAAAAAATAATAAGAATAAACTACGTTACACACACACACGAACTTGGGTCCCACTTAAATGCATTCTACAAATGCATTCCACGTAGTAATAGGATTCTCTCACCCCCAACTATAGTTTTGGATTAAAAGAAGAAGAAGATTGGCCTTCTTGCTTAGGGGTGGTCACGTATCAGATAAGATTGGATTGAATTAGGTATCAATCTTAATTCAATCCGCTCTTATCTTATAGGTGGTGATGTCTAAATCACTTCAAAAGAAATCCTTTTTTTTTTTTTTTTTCAAACGAAAACAATAAAGACGAAATAGAAAGATCAAGCCTAAAATAAGTATTGCAAAAAGCACGAGATTTCTCTCTGTGGTCATTATGGCGGTACAGATTAGACAAATCTTAATCTGTCATCGATCCGTTATTTTACAAATCGAATTCGTGTAATAGCAGATCGGATTGAATTGGATCCGTGGATTGTGTTTTATCTAAATTATCCATTATTATTTTTATAATTGATATTATTTATTATTTATTTATCTCATAACCAAATAGATAAAATTTTAATTTATTAATATTAATTCATATATTTAAATAATTATTATCCTTAGAGTCCATTAAATTATCATTAACTAATTAAATTAACTAATATATTATTTGAAAATATATATATAATTTTCAAGGATCGGATCAGATTTACTTATCGGATCGGATTTTTAACAACCCAATCCGTGAGCTACGGATTTGATTTTTTGAATCCACCACCGATCCGTGGGTGTAACAATTCGATCCGATTTGCACGGATCCTATCGGATTCGCGGATTCTCGGATTATTTGCCCACCCTAGACCTGAACAGGTGATGTGGTTCACTCATAAATGCATAAATAGTCTCTAATTATAAAATTATAAAAGTGATAAACAAAAACAATAATTTTTTTTTGAAATAAATTCAGTCACCCTCTTTATTTCCTTATTTATCATTTTTCTAATTTTGTAATTATATGTGCATTTATAATTGGACCAGTTATCATTTTTCAAATAATAAATAAGGACAATAATTTTTTTTTTGGAATAAATTCAGTCATCCACTTTAATTTTTTATTTATCACTTTCCTAATTATGCAACAAATAATGTGTCCATTTGTGATTGAACCATATAAGAGGGGCACAATGGATATTGTCCTTACTTTTAAGTTTTTAACAGATACATATTGTAATTTATTATCAAAGGAGGGGCACAGTGGAATTACAATAAACTACAGGACACAAACACAAAATCCCCCACAGAAGAAACTTGATTTTAAAAATGCATAAATGGTTGGCTGATGACAATCACATCCCTCCTCGCTCACCAACCGCTCTCTCTCTCCTCTCTCTCTCTCTCTCCAAATCTTCACAGGCGTTGGAGAGCTAAGGACGCAGATCTCTACTCATCCATCTCTTGATCTCACACTTTCTCATCAGCATTCTGTAGATGGGTAGTGACGGAAAGGTCTTTACTTTGGCCGAGGTCTCCGAACACAACTCCTCCAAGGACTGTTGGCTCGTCATTTCTGGCAAGGTATACTTTTATTCATATACCCTATATACTTCATGCGAATTTTACTTACACTCTGATTTATCTGATCTGGGTTCAGTCTATTCTGGGTTTATGATTTCTCTTTGATTAAATATCTCAATTCATTGTAGTATATCATATACTCATACAGATTAGATCTTCTGTAAAATGGAGATTTGAGCATCTTTTTCAATCGGTTTGGTTTATTGTTAGCATTGGGATTTTGGATTTATTCAACTGATTTCAATTTGATAATTTTTCTTTACTTTTTTATTTTTTATTTTTTTATTTTTATTTATTTTTATATTTGTTTATTTTATTTTATTTTATTTTTGGGTTCCGTATGTCTACTTTGGTTTTGCATATGTAGTACTGTGGTGTATTGGACTGAGAAAATCTTGGGTGAGAAGTCAGATCTATGTAAGCACATTATTTTATGCACAGTTTGACATTTGACTTGCATTTAGAAGATCGGATCCCAATTTCGTTGTGTTGGGAAAAAAACTTATTTTTGGATGCAAAAATTATTTCTGATGATCTTGCTATATATTCCGTTCGTACAATGATAAGATTAGTTTTTATAATCAAATTTATACCCTTTTTACTGGATATTACTCAATTTTTTATTTCATTGCTTTGGTTCAGTGTTGATGCACAAAGTGATCAGTGATCCTGTTTTGGTATGTGGTTTTTGGCTGCCCGAAGCCATCTGCAACTCTAACATGCTTTTGTTGTGAAGTTGTGGTGGTTGATTACCTATATGCAATTCTGAGGTTTAGATGGAAGATAACCTTTTTGTGGTAAAAATACCCATTGTTCCATCAAATCACAAACGGACATGGAGATCTGACCAAAAAACAATAAGAGATTTCACCATATTTAATGGAGAAGAGATATTACAACAGTATAGGATGCCCAATCACTGCCTCATTAGAAACTTCACCTCTTAGAGACTTTCAAAACTGGACCGTTTGAGTTGCGCTATGCGGAATGGCTATGAATGTTCAGTTTAAAACAATAACCTCGAGGGGGATGAATAGGTTTAACTCGCACCTTTGTCCGATTTTTAGATTATTTTTTCCAAATTAAAGCCTAATCAATCACACAAAGCAAGTAAACTAAGTGCGAGAAAGTAAGAGATGACACCAGGATTTTAGAATGGAAACCCAATCGGGAAAAAATCACGGTGACTTAGCCGTCTCGAGCGAAACAATCCATTATCTCGAAAAAATGTGTAGCAGACTCTGTCTCAGGTTTGTTGACAAGATCCACAATTTAATTTGGCTAATTTATGTCTACCAACCCATTTGTTTTTTCACACTTCATACTTCTACATTTGCGGCACCTCCTTTGACAAATCAAGCCTTGCTTTTGCTATAAAAAGATAGTAGATGAATGCAAGTAAAAACTGTGAAGAGAAATGAAAAGGCGAGAGAGTTGTAAAAACTCCATTGGATGAACTTGGGTTTTGGGTGTGAGTCTCTTGAAGCATTGAGAGGCAAGTTTAAGTGATTGAGTGATCTTGTAAACTTCCTTGGTTTTCAGTTAGTGAACTTTGATCTCTGCTCCTCCATGGATGTAGGCAAATTACCGAACCACGTAAATCTTGTGTCCTTTGTTTGCTTGTGTTTTCTTTCTTTTTAATTACTCATTTTGATTGCAATTTTCTGAAGGTTGTGTCTACACACGTCTCCCAAGCACAACACTTTCCGACTATATAATTTCTGGAACCTCTTGTAGGATTATGGGGTATAGCTGCATAGATGCAAGGTTCCCCCTTTAACTATTCAATGTTGGAATACCTATGTGGGAAAGTTACAGATGTATAATTCCGCCTTATTGATTTTTTATTCTGGAGTACCCATCTGGATTTTGAGGTTCAGATGCAAGGCTTTCTTTTGGCCATGTAGGATCCTGAGGGTTAAGCACAAAATTTTCCTGTAATGATTCAATATCGAGAGTACCCACAAGCAATTCTGAGATTCGAAAATTATGTGATTTATTTAGATCTTAAGAATGTCCTGTTTCTGGATCAAAACAATCTAGTGTTGTTACTCACATTTTTTCTCTATTAAACTTTGGCTCTTTTATATATCTGGTTTTAGGTTCAACATATATGCAAAGTTGTCTATCAAGAGATCTTTTAATTTCTTCCTTTGTTTATTCCTTTCTTTCTAAGCATAACTTTGATTTTCCAGACAAAAATTATCAATATGTATATTAATTTCTCATATTACCCACTGCAGTTTTAAGTGCTAAAATTTTATACCTTCTATTTGGGCTTTGTTAATACGTTGACGTCATGTCAGTCTAGATGTCATGCCATAACACTCAACACTTTTATGGGCCCTCTTGGCCATGTTGCAAATTTATTTGAGTCATAAATGTGCTTTCATTGCATGAATACTGCTTTCTAGGTTTTTGATGATTAGATTTATTACAAAACATGGAAAATTTATTGTGGCCTTATATAAATTAAAATTTTCTATTATTTTTATAATTGTGTTTCCAAAGTGATTTTTGTCTTAGTAAGGTACTATGATTCTTTTGAGTGAAGATACAAATGATAAATCAAGAAATTTATTACATTTTTCAAACTTTTACATTGTTGTTAGAAGAATAGGAAGGATGAGATATAATAATTTTATTACATGGGAATTTGTTAACTCTTTGGAATATATTCGAGAATCACAACACACGATTAGGCCATCTGTTGCCCAAAATATTGACCCGGGGGCGGGGGGGGGGGGGGGGGGGGGGGGGGGGGGGGGGGGGGATGGGGGTGTGTTTGATAATTGTATTGGTGACCTTTTGGTTATTGAATTATAGGTTTCAGATTGAACAATTTATTGAATACAACATGATAATTGTAGTAGATGAAGCGATTTAAGATAAATGTTTGATAATTGAAATAGCAAAGTAAGATATTGATTTTATTATGTTATTTAGTCTATTTGGCTAAGCATGCTATATAATTATTTAACCTCACAATCATGCACAAGATAATATAATGAACATTGTCTAAATAAGGAAAATAAGGGATAAGAGAAGCTATCACAAAAGACATAACATGGTCCAACACTCCGGCCTTTGTCCATGCCTCAAGACAGGGGCGGACCCTGCCCCTGGACCCCGAACTTTAGGTAAGGGGGGGCAAGACTGAAATTTTGTAATAATTTCAGGGGGGATATTAGCAATATTTTATGGGTATATATTGAAAAAAGGAAAAAATAGCATGGTATATTAGTAAAAAAAAAAAAAAAAAATTCAGGGTCCCCCCCCTCACTTGCACATAGGTCCGTCCCTGCCTCAAGATACCTCTCGAGGATTTCCAAATCCACTATGGGCTCTACCTTACAGGGTGAGTGTAAAACCTTTGCAACTCCCTCTTGCGGGTGGAGAGTACACCTTCTCTTCTTACACGTCAAGAGCAAGCCTTCTCTCACTTGCTGGTGGAGAGAGGGCCTTTACAAGATTTTCCGAAAGCTCCTTTGCCTTGGTCTTTCACTTAATAGATAAGCAATAAATGTATAGTGTACAATGATATCTCTCACTATATAGATGTATACTCCCTCCGAGTTCCATCTTTCCTTTTTGCGATGTCCCAAAATACTTGTCCCACTTAAAACGTTCAAACAAGATATTTCACATCTTTTGATGAATGCCCTTGAAGTTTTTTAAAAATTCAAACTTGATTATATATATATGCAAACTTGAAAGGGTAACTTAGTAATTATAAAAGGGGACAATGCATTAATTGAATGTCCACTTAAAAACTTCTATTCCCCAAAATGAACTCTTATTTGGGACGGAGGGAGTATAATTTAAGTTCACAATCCTAGAGTTAATACCCGAAGTATTCCATTGAAAAAGCTTCAGCCCTAGTGGTGGCTACCATTAAGAATAGTCAAGAATTAGGCTTATGGGTAGCTTCAACCAACAATGATGTTAGAATATATGAGCAATGGTAGTTCTCTCTAGTAAATGTCCATTACAAGGAGTATTTATAGTCCCATTTCAAAATATAGTTGTTAGACACATTTAGCACACATTTGGAGTATTGAACTAGCAGTTGACTTGTTTGGCTAGACCAGTCTGCTGATCCATATAAATGAGCCGACTGATTCTTCATGTCCTTGGAGTCTTCAACTCTTCGGATAAAACCAGTCGACTAGTCCTTTGGGATCAGTTGATTGGATTCAAGGAAGCCAGTAATGGCTACTTTCTGTTTAGAATTAGTTGGCTGACACATTATCATGAGTCAACTGAATCAATTTAAGCTTTAAACTAGATATGTCACTGGAATGTGCAAGTCGACTGATGCTTATAGAGCAACTGACTGAATTGTCCTATTATTAACATGTCCTCCTTTTGAGTTTAACATAGGCTCAATTTCATTCCATATATACTTAAGACTTTAGATTTATGCAATCTAGTTCAAGTCCTTTTTTTTTTTTAAGTCTAGGACAGTCAAAATATAATGAATCAATTTCATTTAAGGTCCTTGACTTCTTTAAGTGTGGATATTGAGATTTTAAAAGATATTCCAATTGGAAACCATCTCAATATTAACAAAGGATTTTCAAGATTGAAGCAATTAAATTCAAAGCCTAAGTCAATGAGATATATCTCATTGTAAATGTTGGTCTTAGATTTTGGCTAGATCAAGGGTTGAGTTCTTCCAAAGCTTATGAAAGCTTGAACTAACTAAAACTCAACAATGGCCTTATAACTTGTCTCAATATGGTTCATGGCCTAACGATTATGTTCTGAGGACTTTTGAATGCTATGAATGATATGCATTTGGTCTTATAGTCCACTAGGTCAAGGGTCGAGCTTTTCAAGCAAGTTACTTCAAGAACAACTTTACATTTAATTCTAGCACTCATCCAAGACTATCTTCCCTGGTCTTTGATTTTCATTTCTTTAAGCTTTGGGATTGAAATCTTCATCTTTGACAAGAAGTCTTCATCTTTTGACTTTAATGTCTTTTGAGCTGCATGAGTCTTCATCTTTGACTTCAATGTCTTTTGAGCTTTGGCATTCATCTTCAAGTATTGGATCCTTCTTGGCCTTGCCATTGATCCATAAGCTATTAAGCTCACTTAAATAGCCTGTTTAACATGAACTCAAATAGACATTAAATGCAACACCCTCAATGATTTGTTATCATCAAAATGTCCCATGTACCCTTGGTTTGAAATCTTGGGTCAACACCATCAACTTTAGTAACTTCCATAATTGTTCTTATGTTTCCTCATTCCTTAAGCTCACCTAATTCAGGTGTGCAAATGGTCAATAGGATCATCTTAAGAAAGAAAATTTTTCAGAAAACAATTTGAATAGAGTTTCACTGGTGATCTAATCAGTGATCACTATGATCAAATATCGTCCTTTGAATGCAAGATTAGATGTTGTAAAGGCAGCTAAATGATAGCAGCCTTGAATTGGTTTCTTCTGTGTCACTATGTTCTGCTTCATAGATCTAAAGCTATATTTCTTTCTAATTCTTTCTCTAGAACTGAAGTAATTGATGTTATAATGCTGTGTTACTTTATTTTACATATTGTCCTGTAAAGTTCAAAGGCTTCCCTCCTTAATTAGTTCATACAATAAATTTGAAGGTCTTCCTATAATCTTGATGTGTTGTAACAGGTATATGATGTAACAAAGTTTTTGGAGGACCATCCTGGTGGTGATGAGGTTTTGTTGTCTGCAACAGGTACATCAAAAAGCAGTGGCGTAGCCACATAGGGACAAGTGGGGGCAGCTGCCCCCACTGAATTTTTAAATTAAATTTTTTTTTTTTTAATTTTATATGGAAAAATTTTTATATTAGTATAATTGTCCCCACTAAAAGTTGACATTGCACGTATATATACTATATATATATATATAACCAAAGGACCGTTCATGGTATTATATAAAAAATAAATAAATAAAAGGAATATAATCTTTTCAAAAAATTTGATATTTTTTGTTCACTTTCTCAAAATATTATATTCTTTCTCACTTTTTCAAAAAATACAAGATATTCTTTCACATTTTTGACTTTATCACAAACAAATGCGATGTGAATTTCCATCGCATTTTCAATCTTCAACATTTCTCTTTTGACGAGTCTTCAATATTTCAAATATTCACAAAATCCAAAAAAAATACTATAGTGCAGAAACAGGTAATCTGATATATATTTTTTTATCATCTAAATTTACTATTATTATGCCATGAATATTTTGAAACTCGACTGCATTCTAGTACTGTTTAATTTTTATATATATTATTTTGGTTCAAATAATATATATATATATATATATATATATATATATATATATATATATCTATTATTGCTGTTAAAAATTGCCCCCACTAAAGGAAATTTCTGGCTACGCCACTGTCAAAAAGTCTCAATGTTTTAATTTTTTTTACATAATACAAAATTATGTTGATATTTACTGTATTTTATTTTGTTTCTGGTATTTTTTTCGTTTTGCTTATATATTTGGTTGTAAGGCAACACACTGATTCAATTTTGTCTCATTTGGGACTTGAACCCTCAATCTCCTCTTTGGAAGGATAAGATACCCACTCGTGTTAAAATTTAATATAGTTGCCTATTAAAAAAAAAAATTAGATGTTTGTTTTTCATGTATTTGATGCATGGTATTGAGACTATTGACATTAAGTTCAAAGTTACATGTTGGGAATGATTTGGGAGATTTCAAACTTGCCTGACAAATATTGTCCTTAACACCACGTATAGATAGCCTACAAATGCCGTACACAAATACAACTTGATGTTGTAATGCTATGTCTGCAGGGAAGGATGCAACTGATGATTTTGAGGATGTTGGCCACAGTACCAGTGCAAGATCAATGATGGATGAGTATTACGTGGGTGACATTGATTCATCAACCATCCCTACCACGACCCATTACACCCCTCCCAAGCAACCTCAATACAACCAGGACAAGACCTCTGATTTCATTATCAAGCTCCTCCAGTTCTTAGTTCCCCTCATCATATTGGGGTTGGCTGTCGCCGTCCGTTTCTATACCAAATCAGCTTAAGGGTTGTGAGTGTGCTAGTGAATCAGAATGCCCCATTCATAATAAATTTCTAGCTCTGATAAAAAACCCTTCTTCTTGTTACTGTGCACGAAAACTGTTGCAATTCTAGGTGTAGTAGGATATTTGACTTTTATATATTGATGAGTATGTGCTTTCATGTGATTTAAGAATGTCTCTCATTTTTGGTATCCCATTGTTGAAAACCACCTTGTTCTTTTCATTCCGTTTACTGGGTAATTTCATGAATTCGTAATCCATCATAAGGACCCCATATGTGCCCGAATGCATTGGTTAAGAGACCGATTAGGTTTCGTTCTCGTTTGATTTTCTTTTAATGAATTACTTGCAGTCACATGCAATGAAGAGGGTCAACTTGTTAGAATACCATGCTTGCAGGAACCCTACCTTTATCTTTAGCGTTTGTGAGATCAACACCGGTGACAGGCTTCATGTTGTTTGTTTCACAAGTTACACCCTGTTTTTCGTTAGTTTGGGCGAGTTCTGTTTGTTTAGAGATTTGTGCTTTTGTGCATGCTTTTCTTTGTTATTGTGTTACATTAGATTATCAACGTCAAGGTTTAAACCGGTGCAGGCTAAGGAAGCTTTGCGTGAGCTTGAATCTGTCTGCTCACCGGCTTTTTCTGCATAAAATATAGTCTTTGGTAGAGGGGTTTCTGGAGACTGAATTGTAGTAAACAACATATGATTTTGTCATTGGCAACCTGTGAATTGGAGTGAGTGATACAAAAATGAGGTTGTAGAAAAGTACTACTACTACGTAGTAATTTTTTCTGAACTAACTCTTTTTTAAGTGAGAAAGAAAAGATTGTTTTCTTTTATTTCAGATTGAAGGGATGATTTTTTAGAATTTCCAACGAAAGCAAGTGCATTAAACCATCAGTGCCCTTAAATTTAAATAAGGACCTAGTTCCCATATGTTGCATTCAAAACTATAAATGATGTATGGGATACAACTGATTCAGTTCTAACCTGCTTCAATCTGAACCAATTCGACCGTAGATTGGTTCAGTTACAGATTCATAAATCTTTAAAATTTCTCTACAAAACCATTGTAGCTTTCTTCTTTAAAGCCCCATAAATCCGCAGTCTACAATTGAATTTTTTTCTTTATTGTGATGATTATAATAAGCAACTTAATCGTGATTTCAATCTGTATTGGGCTGTAGTCAGGTAAAATAAGAAACAAAAAATGTAGTATTGAACACTATATGGAAAATCTGTTGCATTGGGCTATTTAGATAAGTCCAATCCGTAAAATGAATCCAATCAAATCTAGAGTTTGGAATCGCAAACATTTAGTTTTATGTCTAAATCAAATCAATCCGATCCATTTGCATCCCTAATGATATATTTTCGTCAAAGAAAATTAATTCCGGAAGAGAAATTTTTTGTCAAAGGAGGGATGGAATGTGGTGGAGATAACAACTACTACTCTCCCTGCATCCTGATATCTCTTTCAATTCGTGATGGAGAAAGTAAAAGAAGTGATCTTATGGCAACGGCAGGATCCTTCTACTTTTTTTCGATAACCGGAGTGTCCGGGGCTTTATTTCGACTAATCTATGAAACCTGTGCAAGATGTCCTTCCATACGGATTGGATAAAACTCGGACTATCTCAGCGAATGTGGTTCCTAAAAAATTGTTTACACCCAAAAGAAATCCGAGACATGGTGTTTCACGAAATATCAGAATCCAGGTCATTTCTAACTAGACGTATGCCTTGGGGTTAACTTACCCACCTAATCCAGGTCATTTCGCAAAATGCTATTTAATTCAACAACAACAGACTTAGGAAGGTCAAATCAATTATTAAAACATTCTTTTCTTTTTATAATTTATTTAATAGTTGAGCAAATCAAACGAATAGAATGAGTTAATAATGGGACATTGCATGTGTGCCGGAAGAGCCCCATGGATGGGATACCCTTCAGATTATATTATGCAAAATGTATTATTATCCATTGAATGACCATCAAATTTTTTTATTTTTTATTTTTGTTACAAAAAAATAATAATAAAAATGTGTTGAAGAACAAAGCCATCGAATCTTTCAAAATTTGATCCACATAGAAACAAGAAGGTAAATGCTCCAAAAGCCGACCATCACAGCTAACTCAATTGTTAAAATACTCCAATATGGTCTTTATTAAATATAGTTGTTGCAATTCATTGTTTTTTTCGTTGTTCAAACTTGCTGTCTTACCTATTTGAGGCTAACTTAATTATAATTGTATATCATGCCTAGATGGGTGTAGGTAAACAGATCATATCTTTGGATTTCAAAGTGGTTGCTCTCAAATTTGATAGTTTGAATTTACTTTGAACATTGCACTTTTATTTTGTAATAATCATTCCAAAATCTCGACTTAAAATATGAAGGTAACGCTGTGAACGTCATCATTTTTGTCTTTCTTTTATATGAATAGAATCGTAATTTTTTCAATATTTTCTATTATGTCACATCAAAAAATTTATTATTTTATTTGATGTAAGTTTTTGCCAAGCTTCTTTACCGCTTACCTTATAAGTAAACAATTCTACCTCTTCTCACTGATGCATCTTCGAATATACAATTTGTATATATAAATATATTTTTTTCAAGAATAATCTACTATTTATATGACGCCTATTTCAGTTTTTCCTCTCACGTGTTCATTACTAATTTTATTATCTCATTTCTACTGCATTAATTCGGTGCTGTTGTTTCTTTTTCAGCTTCCAACAATTTGCTCCATACAAAATATATAGTTCCCCTAATAACTATTTTATGGTATAATTTCTCTTTCAATTTATTTGTTTGGAACAAGATGCACAAAATGGAAATGAGCATATCATTTGAATGTAATATACTTGATAAAAGAGTTTTCACATGCATAAACCATTTGTGACACGTGAAATATTTCGTTGCATGACATTTCAATGATAACACATACATGCACCATGGTTTGTAGTCGTGGTTGCGGTATAACGTATTCGGATGAATATCGGTGTAAATCGGCAGAATCGGTCTGTTCATAAAGGTGTGTAACGGTATCATACCCTTAAAAAATAATTACGAACCGAGCGATACGTCGCACATCGGCCGATACGACGAACCATGATATATACTAATACTATATTTGAGAGAACTGAATTGGAGCTTTGGGATTGGAATCGAGAAAATTTAATTTAAAATTTGAACTAAATTTCCTTTCATTCCAATTTCAAGACATCGATTCAGTGCTCTTACATGCGAAATAAGTGTTTTTTTTCCTTGTTTTTCTTTTTAATCTTTCTTTTTGTTCCAAGTATCACATTGACTATTGAAGGGATATATAGGAATATATATTAACACTGTTAGTGTGAAATAGTTTGTGATTATCCCTTGGAAAAGATAAGAACAAGACAATACTACAAGAGTGGCCAGCCAATGTCCATGGTAATAACTCTAGCATAGGCAAATGCAATTTCAAGAAAGACAAGAGGATCTTTCTATGATGATTCAACAAACCTATCATCTAACCAAATGATGTGTATGTGTGTGTGTATATATATATGATCCAATCACAACAAATCCTAGGACAGAGTCATGTTGTCCAAAGATCCTTCCATGGATCTCATCGCCATAGTTTGTCATTGTGTAAGAGAGAACAGACATTATAAGAAGGGGATATAGGCTACCCCATATTTCCTCCCCCTTCCACTTTTCTCTATATCCCAATAGCTAGAAAGAAAAAAAAAACACTAAGTATGGGAGCTTCAAAAAGAGAGGAACAAGTACTAAAATTGGTGCATCCAGGTAGGCATGTGGAGACTTACACACAGCCTATAAGTGCTGCAGAAATCTTGAGGAAGAATCCGAGGCACTCCATTGCCCGGCCTGATGTGTTCCAGTTTCCGTATATTGTGGTTAGTTCTGAGTCAGTGTTGTTTCCCGGAGATGTGTTCTATATTGTTCCTAACACCACCATATATCGCCTGCTAAAAGAGCGAGAGCACGAGGACCATCCTCCTTCTGGACAGAACCTGCAGGCCGCGAAGAATCATGGCCGTCGACGAAATCCTAAACAAGTCTCCCCTGTCAAGTCATTGGTTGGGACGACTCCTATGTACCTAGATGAGCATGATCAAGACGTTTTGAAACAATTTCACCACAACAATCAATATGTGGCGAGCCCTCAGGACACTGACCCTGACACTGAGGAGAGTCTCACCAGACAATCCCGTGTCAAGTCAGGACCTGAGCGGATAAAAAGGTCATTATCCAGTGCATGTCATTGGGAACAGGATTTTGACAAGAAACTCACTAGACAACATCACGTTAAGTCAGGACATGAACGGAGTAAAAGTCCCCGGGAACAAGATGTTGAGAAGAACCTCACTAGACAATCTCATGTCAAGTCACTGCCTCAGAGGACAAAAAGTACATTATCCAGTGGATGTCTCATGGGAATCACTAAGAACAGAAATACCCACCAAGAATTCGAGTCATTTGACAAGGGAAAGCATGCGGATTCATCGTTGGAGAGTAGAGCTTCCCGTGGGAGAAGAGAGCATCATTTCAATAGACGTAGCACCGGTCAAGCATTGCCTCCTAGTGAAAATGGTGATTTACAGATCAACAACAATCGCGAACAATTAGTTACATTGAAATCTTGTTTGAGGAAGCAGGACAGTGTACCAAGATTGCAAAATCTTAAGGTAAGCTTCGCGACGCCAATTATAACAACAACAACAACAACAACTAGAAGAAGAAGTCTAGCAGTGTCACGGAGGAGCTTGTGATGAAATGTGTTGGCTTCTTACACTGGCAGAATTTAACATTCTTTGATTTTTGGTTGTTCTATACATGCAATCGTTAATTTGGCTATCAGTTTTGTATCTGTTAAGATGAGTTTCTGCTCCAATTGTTTGGACTGTGATTTTCTGTTGTGTATGAATAAGCATTATGAGAAAATTTCTCTTATCAATGTTTCATCTGATTATGAAGTGAGTGGTGTAAAGAATCAACTGCTTAAATATCTTGCAATCTAGCTAGACGGATCAATGGAAAAGGTCTATTTGTTTTCTCTACATGTTGGAATTAAATTAAATTACATGGATGCTAACTATTTTAAAACTTAATTTGACTTGGAGTTTGATTGAAAATTTGCAAACTAGT